AATTTCCTTGATTAACTTTGAGAGGTTTAAAATTTCCTTGATTAACTTTGGGCCAATATTGCTGAAATCTCTGGAAAAGAGGTATGTTGGGACCAGATGATGGTCCAAATAGTGATCCAAACACTCCTGCTACTATGATCTCATGAACATGGTGTCTGCAAGCAAAATATAACAAATTTCTACCTATATGTTTCTCTAGAACTACACATGCACCATTTTCGGAGCCAGTGTTAGAGGCTGTAGTATCAAAACTCATTCCAATAACATCACCAATTATGTCCCAGAAATTAAGCAGATGAATAACTGCTTTTGCTTGGGCTTCTCCAGTTCCAGCTGATAGTTTTGCTATTCCAAGTATTTTGTCAACATTGTGACCTGTCACACCTACAGATAGCCGGTCAACATTTGTTTTAGGGTCTGCAGAATTTGTACGATCTATCATCAGTTTGCCATCCCAGTGGACGATTAATGGTGGTTTGTCCAAATCGCAGAATTCAGTTCGAACAGTGGCTTCAATGTTTGATCGATGATAGGTTCGTTTTCTACGGACTGTAGAACATGACAATGATCCATCATCGAGGTTCTGTCCACCAGCCCTTGCAATTGCTGCTGCTAGTATAGTAAATTTTGTGTCAGATAGATTAATTCTGTCTAATGTTGATGAAACATCGGGCGAGTCAAGAATTGTATCTAAGATACATTGTCGTTTTGGAGTACTTGCTAAACTTGATTCAGCTGACCCTGAAGAACTTGCTTTACTGACTTGTTGTCTGTAATAAACAGGGATTTCTATCTCAAAATCTCTATCAACCATTTTGTCATTATCAACAGCATCGTTATCGTTGTCATCACTATAACTTTCGTCATGTAAAGGTTCAATAACAGGAACTATTGCACTCGCACCAGATTGTCTTTGCTCTTCTTTTAGCTTTCGTTCTCTCTCTGCTTGTTTCCTTGCTTCATTTCTTGCTTCTAATTTTGAAAGTTCTTTGTCCACTCCAAACATCACCATTTTTCTCTGACATCTCTGATCCAATAAAAATTCTTTATCTTCTTCAATTCTGATCATGGTTTCAGCATCCTTGTGGGCAATGTCAAAAAGTAGGCCAATGGTGTCTGTAAATGATTTCTCTCTTGATTTCTGAGAATCTGACAATATGGATTTTTTTTTTTTTTATTAATTTAAATTCCTGGACTAAAGTTTTCAACTTTAAGACTACATTCGGATGAAATGCTGTCGGAATACGGGCTTTATTCCAAATAATAATCAGTTCATCAACAGTTGTTTTAAGACTTTCAGGCACTGACTTTTTGGTTGAATTAAGATGATTAAAAAAATGTTTTTAAAACATCAGATGTTAAGGGAAGAACTTTATCTGGAAGATTTGGCTCTGGTTGTCCAATTAAAAAGATTTCGGTTTGAAGTCGTGTAGAGATAGCAACACGAGATGATGCTGCCATTTCAATGATAACTGAAAAATTATGAGAAAATCAAAACTCAATACCATATTATACAAACTTATCATTGAGTTGTTGGTTTATGCAGCTGCAGCAATATATAATAATAATTATTACTAAAGAAATTAAATAAATATTTTCAAATTAGAAATTATTATTATCTGCACTTAATAACAAACAATACACTACCAGACTACCATGCTAGTTTTCTGTAATAGGTTACTAAGGTTAGGTACTATCAAAATATTAATACATTTGTTGTCAAACTGAAATTCCAAATAAAAATAATATTTATACTTGTAAACCTTTTTATTCTGTTTGAACAAATTCTAAATTGAGTTAAATAATAGTATTAAAATGTTGTTCACATGAACAGCCCTAATATATATATATATATATATATATATATATATATATATATATATATATATATATATATATATATATATATATATATATATATATATATATATATATATATATATATATATATATATATATATATCTGTATATATATCTGTATATATATATATATATATATATATATATATATATATATATATATATATATATATATCTGTATATATATATATATATATATATATATATATATATATATATCTGTATATATATATATATATCTGTATATATATATATATATTTATATATATATATATATATATATATATATATATATATATATATATATATATATATATATATATATATATATATATATACAGTGGTTTTCATAAATTTAGACGCACTAATATTTGAGAATAGAAAATTTTAGGTATTTTAACGATAAAACAATGACGAAAAAAGATTTCGGTTTAGTTTTTTTTCTATTTATCAGATAAATACATACAGAATACAAAATTTAAAAAAAGTTTACAAAAAAAATGAAATACTAAGTAATAATTAGGTACAACTACATGGTATTAAAAAAATTAGACAAAAAAAAAATATTCATAAATTTAGACGCACGATACATTAGAAGGCGTAATTTATGAACCAATTAATATTTTGTGTATCCGCCTTTTGCTTTAATACAACTAAGAACTCTTCTAGGCATAGTCTCAACAAGATTTTTGCACATCGCTTCTGGGACCCCATACCAGGTCTCCTTAAGGAATTACTTCAGCTGACCAAGTGTGGAAATTTGAACCTTTGCTAATTCACGATCAATCCAAGCTCAAATGTTTTCAATCGGGTTTAAATCAGGGGAATATGGAGGCCACGGTATTGTCATAATATTATTATCGTTGAACCACTCCTTTGTATAGTATGCAGTATGTGCAGTAGCGCTATCTTGTTGAAGTTTCCATGGTTTATCATTGAGCATAAGCAGGTCAATTGATGGAATTAGGTTGTTTTCCAGTACTTCTACGTATATTCTGGAGTTGATTCTTCTGGTGTATGTTTGGCACATACCAACACCTTTGTAATTGAAGCATGACCAGATTCCTATCGAGCCTCCTCCACTTTGTACAGTTGGTCTAATGTACCTGGCGTAATACTTTTCGTGAGCCATTCTTTTAACTGTTATGTTAGATTTGCGATTGATAAGCTCAAAGTTACTCTCATTACTCCACATAATGTTTTCCCATTGATCTATTGTCCAATACCTTCTTTCATGACACCATTTTAGTCTCCTTTGTTTATCATATGGACGCAGAAGCGGTTTCTTCAAAGCAGTGTAGACTCCAATCTTGTATTTGATAAGTATTCGGCGGACTGTGCTTTGAGAAATAGATGTATTTCGCGTTGTATTGAATTCTGTGGTCAATTCTTTGTAACTAATTCTTGGATTAGCTCTGACAGCTCTAAAAAGAACACTATCGTCCTTTCTCGTGGTTGACAAGGGTCTACCTGGCCTCGTTTTCTCGCTGGCACCACCAGTGTGAAGAAAGTTTTGTTTCGTTGTCCGAACGCATTTCTCAGAAACTCCAATTAACTTGGCGATTTCTCTATTACTTTTGGTTCCTTCTTTGATGTGCGCAATAATTTGCCATCTTTCACCTTGAGAGATACGTCTTTTGCCCATTTTTCGCGTCTTTTTATTGCAAAACTAACTTAACTTTTGTTTATTTATTAAATAATGATTAACTAATCCCAGGTAAGTCATATTTATATAAGGTTTTTTGACAAAATCAATTAATTTAGGCCTATTAATGAGAAATATGAGAAAAAAACTACTAATTAACTATCAATTAACAAGATATAAGACTTTTTTAATTGTGCGTCTAAATTTATAAACAAAATAAAATCAAGTTTATCAATTAACTTTTTTGTGTTAATCGGTATAGAATGAGTAATAAACATCCTGTAAAAAAAATTATGGTACTCTATAATAGAGTTTCATTTCCTCTTTTAAATTATATATCAAACATAGCGGTAGCACTTTTATTTTATTTTTATTTTGAGTATTTTCTTACATATATAATGAATGCGTCTAAATTTATTACAAAAAAATGAATGCGTCTAAATTTATGAAAGCTACTGTATATATATATATATATATATATATATATATATATATATATATATATATATATATATATATATATATATATATATATATATATATATATATATATATTTGTATAATTTTTTACTGTCACAAATATTTTTTGTGATTTAGTAAAAAATTATACAAATATTTGATTTTCTGATTAAAGTAGAAAAAATACATATATCTTTAAAAAAACAACAACAAAAAAATGCTATCTTAAAAATTTATGCATTCATTATTTAGTATCATTCAAAAAAATTCAGCCCAAATATTTTTTTTAAACACTTTCTTTAATATGAACACAACTTGTCTCGGCAGTTGGGGATCCCTTTAATATATATATAAAAAAAAAGACATTTTACAAAAGAAGGACCATTTGGGACAACTCTATTGTCAAAGGGTTGATCAACCCCTAAAAATAATTTTTATAAGCTAGTTTTTGAATCAGTTATTATTTTGTTATAAAAGATGTTTAAGCAGTTGAATTCATTTAAAATAAAAGATTAAAAAATGAATATATATATATATATTTTTTTTTTGTTCAAATTTTTTATTGTCCAAATATTTAGTTCGATATAAGTATTTCTTTTACAAATAACAAATTCAGACTAATTATGCTCTGGCTATTTTGTTAGTGTAAAATGATAGACCATAGAAATAAATTGCTGTTCATAAGTCTTGTTTGTTTTACATGAATGCAAGTCTTGTGATAATATGATAAAGCATCAGGATTTTAACGTATAGCATTTTACGTACACAAAGAGCAATATAATGTCAAGTTACAATATTTGTTATGTTAAAACCTTTTTTGAAAATTTTGCTGACTTTTTAAAAATAAAAATTTAAGAAATAAAACAAAATCTTTTTAATCCATTTAGTTATAGGTGAAACATGGTTGTGTCAAATGTCACAAAAATAAATAAATTTTAATAATTTAATAAATAGTAATCTAAGTAAATATTACATAATAATATTTCTTCGTTGTTTCGAGTTGATTTTTAAGAGATTTTTAATTTATTTGTTATAGATGTCACTGGCCTCCTATGGCCCTCCACCATATGGTCACCGTGCTGGTTGGGTACCACGAAGACAAGAGGTTTAATTATAAATTAATTTATAATCAATATTAGTTTAATATTTTTAACATTCTAAAATTTAATTTTAAACTTTTGTTTTGAGGCACATTCATTTGTATGTTTAACATCAGATGGGTCCCTATAATTATCAAAAAATAGTTCTTTATGTTGGGTCTCAAGAAGCAAAAGAAATGTGCAATAAAATACTTCTTTTTGAAAGATAAAATATTACAAATATATATATATATATATATATATATATATATATATATATATATATATATATATATATATATATATATATATATATATATATATATATATATATATATATATATACATATATATATATATATATATATATATATATATATATATATATATATATATATATATATATATATATATATATATATATATATATATATATATATATATATATATATATATATATATATATATGTATATATATATATATATATATATTTATGTTTTAAATATTTAAATTTTTGTTTAATTTGTTTTTTTGTTTTTTATTGACTGATTTGTTTAAGGATTAGCCCCAGAAAATTAGATGGTACATCAACTGAGGGTTTTGGTTTGGGCAAGCAATTAATCAATTTTAAAAAAATGTTATAAATTTTTAACTTTTTTTGGTCTTCTATATTACCTTTTTTTTTTAAAATATATAATATTGAAATTTTAAAAAAAATTTTAAAAATAATTATTATTTTATTAAAAAAACATGGTTTAAAAAAATTATAACAAAAAAAATCTTGTTAATTTTTGCTATTTTTCGTTTTTAGTTAAAAAATGTTGTTTTCTGTTCACTGAAATCTAAAGTAATAATTTTTTTATTAAATGATGATTATTTTAAAAGTTTTTATATAATTTCGCTTCTTTTAAGACCCAACAAGACATACTTTTGAAAAACTTTTTTCTTATTAATATTTGGGACCCATTAAATATTCGAGGGTCTTGGGGGACCCCTAAAAGAATTTTTTATTCAAAAAATTTTTAAATCCAGTGTTATTTTATCATATAGTATAGATTAAGGGGGTGGCAGCATAGATTTTTCAAAAATGTTGTTATTTGAGACACCCTAATGTATGTATGTATGTATGTATGTATGTATGTATGTATGTATGTATGTATGTATGTATGTATGTATGTATGTATGTATGTATGTATGTATGTATGTATGTATGTATGTATGTATGTATAAATTTTAATGTGTTTAACTTTTCCTTATGTGCTTTGATTTAGCCTGACTTTTTTTTGATGGTGCCTAATGTTTTTTCATGGAACCTGTTACACTCTGTAACATTCGAAACCACAGTAGAGTTTACAAAACATAGTTAAGCAATGTGATTTCTAGTTTTATTTGTTGTAAGCAACTCAGCTCAATGTGGTGTAAAACTTTGACTTTGCTAAAAAAGAAAATAAGTTCCAGAATATTATGCAAGTTGAAGTTTAAAAAAAAAAAAAGTTTTATTTGAGTAGTTTTTAATTAGGATGCTATTTCATGAAAAATAAGAGGTCTTACAGAAAAAAAAGAAATTCTAGAGTTTTATATATAAATGTCAACAAGAGTTTAACTTTTAGGTGTCGGTGAAACAAGTATTGTAAGAAAAAAATTGGAATTATTTTTTTAACTAGTAGATGTTATATGGTCAAATTCTAGCACCTTAGTAAATTTTACTAACTTGATGAAAGTATTACGCAGACTTAAACTTAATGAAAGCATTATACAGACTTTAAGGCAGCCATCAACATGTTTATTATTTTATTAGATTAGACCCAAACATGCGTTATTTCATTTTTCTAAAGTAAATTATTTCAAAAATGTTGTTGCTATGGTCACTAAAATCTAAATATTTATTAAAAATCAAGTCCAAACAAAAAAAAAGGAAAATTGAAAATGAAAGAAATTTTATTAGTCTCATTAAAAAGTGAAAGTGGAACTTCAAATAGAGTTAATTTCGTATTGAGCTTCAATGTAATTAGGTTCTCAAAATATTGATTTTTGTGTACCACAATGTTACTTGTTTTTACCAACTGACCTATTTCCTATGACGATTGTATTTGTTTGTCAAGTTTGTGCAATATTTGGCAGTATTTATTTCCACAAACACTTTTTTTAAATTATTAGCCTCACTTGCCCTCACCAAAAGTAAATTAATGCCTAATGCAAAAATAGGTTAAAATAATTTTTTTTTCTACAGTAGTTAATTTTTTATTTTACAAAAAACATAGGATTTCGGAGATGGTGGAGCATATCCAGAAATAATGGTTGCACAGTTCCCCCTTGGAATGGGAAGAGAATGGAGAGAAACATCAAACGCTCTTCCAGTTATAATGGATGCTGAAGGAAAGATCAAATTTGACAGCTTATTACGTCAATCTCAACCAAAAAATAAAATAATACATTCTAGGTTTGAAGATCTTGTTGAAAAGCAAGTCAAAGCAGAAGATGATCCTGAACTTGCTCGACCTGATGAAGAAAAGATGCAAGAGGTTTTTTTTTGTTTTTATTGGAATCCTATTAACAATATTTTTTAATTTTATTAATTAAAAGATAAAATGCAATTAAAAGTAAAATATAGTTATTATTTAACTAAAAATTATTAATAAAAAGTTTAAATGTTTCTAATTATAAAACATTTTTTTGTTTTATATTGTTTTTTTATAGACTTCTTTTATAGTATGAAAAGCAAATTTATATTTAAATATTTGTACTTGTTTAAATAATTTCAGATTGCTGAAAAAACAAGGCAAGCATTAGAGCTAGAGGTTAATTCGAAAATAGCAGCTGCTCAACCAACACAAGTTGCACAGAAAACTGCTCCAGCTCAATATATTAGGTATGTATTTATTATTATTTAGGCATTAGTTGTCAGTTTTTCATCTTTAAAACAATAAGAATGTTATTTAGTATAAACTTTTCTAGTTTAATAGATATGATAATATTTTCGTAAAATTACTTTATATATTTGTTAACAATTTTGTATCATTTTTATATTCTTTTTTTAGTTATTAGGTTTTTTAGTTTTGTTAAATCTTAAGAAATAAAGTGTTACATTGTTAACCAGTAAATGCTGAATTATTTATTTGTGTATGTCTTGAAATAATAATAATAATAGCAATAATAATAATAATAATAATAATAATAATAATAATAATAATAAATGCATTTCAAAAATTTTAATTGTTTTTGATTTTGTTTAAAAATTTTAAGACATTTAAGAGTACCAAAAATATCTAATATGGTCATTCAAAGCACTTGAATAAATTAATCATTTATCTTTTATTCCTAACCATAACATACCCATAATACTATAAATCCATAATAAACATGTAATCCATAACATACCCATAATACTATAAATCCATAATAAACATGTAATCCATAACATACCCATAATACTATAAATCCATAATAAACATGTAAACTTTGCTATAATTTTTATGCAGATATAAATATATAAATTAAAATTTTATTCAAATTTAAATTTTTCTTGATCATACTGGACCCTGTGGCTTTGGAAGATGCTATATAGACAGATATATTTTATACTATATAACTTTAGCTATTTTGTATAGTGTCTAAGAGTTATTATACAAAATATACCAAAACGAAAAAAAAGTCAAGTCTGATACTACAAAAGATGTACTGAGTTCAAACTTATACCTCTTGCTTGTGAAAGTCTATGATTGCACAAGCACATACTGTGTACCAAAAGTCATACTGCACCACTTGTTTCAAAAGGGCTCAAGCAAAACAATTTTGTTTTTATACTAAGCTATGCTCAGTTTTTGAGTTTTTTTATTTTTATTTTTTTATTTTCCAAACAGTAATTGGGATTCAAAAGAATGTTTATTTTTTTAATAATTGGTTGCTTATAGCAACCAGTTATAAGCAAAGCAATCTTTTTTTTTAATACCACTGACTATGATGACAATTTTATATACAACTATTATCTGATTACTCCTAATAATGTATTCATAAGATTTTTCCTTCTGTGTTCTTATATTATCTAGAACATTATTTAGATTTATCTAAACTTCAATTTTTTTAGATATACCCCATCTCATGGAGGTGTGATGTTTAACTCTGGTGCAAAACAACGTGTAATTCGAATGGTTGAACAGCAGAAAGATCCAATGGAGCCTCCGCGTTTTAAAACAAATACGAAAATTCCTAGAGGTCCACCATCTCCTCCTGCTCCAGTTATGCACTCTCCAACTAGAAAAACAAGTGTGAAAGAACAACAAGAGTGGAAAATTCCTCCATGTATATCAAACTGGAAAAATCCTAAAGTATATAAGTTTTTTTTTTATTATTACTAATACATAATAAAAAACAGTTTAAGTAAAAAGACTTATTTTTAAAATTTTAGTATTTTATTTATTATTGTTTTATAATTTACCTATTTTATTGTTAAGTACTTTACTAATATAAATATATTCATATATATATATATATATATACATATATATATATATATATATATATATATATATATATATATATATATATATATATATATATATATATATATATATATATATATATATATATATATATATATATATATATATATGTAAACATATATATATATATATATATATATATATATATATATATATATATATATATATATATATATATATATATATATATATATATATATATATATATATATATATATATATATATATATATATATATATACATCCATACATACATTCATACATACATACATACATACATACATACATACATACATACATACATACATACATACATACATACACACACTTACACACTAGGGTGGTTCTAAAAACAACTTTTTTTGAAAATGACTGCTAGCACCCCTTGAATATGTTGTATATAATAAAAAAATGTTGGATTTAAAAAATTTTGGAATAAAAAATATTTTAAGGGGTTGCTACCGACCCTCGAACATTAAATAGGTCCCTCTTACTTAAAAAAAAGTTTTTCAAAAGTATGTAATGTTTGGTCTAAAACGGAGCATTATTTAAATTCTATATAATATAATTAAAATAAAAGCAGACCTCGGAAAAATAAGGTTTTATTGAAATTCCAAATAAAACAATAAAAATAAAAATAGCAAAGCAAACATTTTGTTTAAAGTTAATTTAAAATTTTAGAATAAAATAGTTAAAATAAAATGAAAAAACAAACGATTTAACTCATTTTTAAATAAAACATTACAAAATGGAAAGCAATTGTTTTATTCAAATTATTAATAAAATAATCAAAATAAAAACAGCGTTTTAATTAAATTTTAAATTTGTACTTTATTCATAATCATAAGGGGTCATCCTTAAATTACATCATGCTTTAGGAAGGGGGTGAGGGGTTAGTGGTTTTATTACGACTCATATGGAACTTTTTACTAAAGAGTTATGATGTTGTGACAAGTGTGGTGAGGAGGTAAAAAATGGTCAAAAAATGCATTGTTTAATTTGTATGCAAACCCTAAGAAATAAAAAATAAAAACAAAAAAAAGAAATAAAGAATGTTTTATTTAAAATCTAAATAAATTAATTAAAATAAAAACAAAAACGAAAAAAAAAAGAAAACAAAATAAAGAAAGTTTTATTTAAAATCTAAATTAAATAATTAAAATAAAAAACAAAAACACAAACGTTCTAATTAACTTATAAAAAAACTTTTACAAAAAACCATCGGAAAAGCAAAAATTTTAAATAAAATCCTTTTAATTTATTCAAAGTAAAAAAGGCAAAAAACCAAGATTTTAGTTTATTTAAATAGTAAACAAAACAATTAAAATAAAAGCAAAAACACAAAAGTTTTATCAATTCTAATATCAGTTCTAATATATATATCAGTCTTCTCCGTTTAGCCAGTGCTTTCGTGCTCAAACTTTGGCGAGCGCATAAAAAAGTGCTTGCCAAAAAATGAAAGCATTTTGTTCTAAATTGCAACAAAACCTTTTTGTTTATTTGTTCAACTTTTATGAGAAATGGTTTTTTTACCAGGTTTTTTTTTAAATTATTTTATCTAGTATTTTTTTTTTTCTTTCTGTTTTTATTTTAATTTAAGTAGCAGGACAAAAATGAATTTTTTAAATTGCGCAGGCTAACTTAAAAATGTCAGCGCTATTTTGTGCGCTGTCAGCGCTGTATATATCTGTCAGCGCTATTTCATATCTGTCAGCGCTATTTCATATCTGTCAGCGCTATTTCATATCTGTACATATCTGTCAGCGCTATTTTGTGCGCTGGCATTAAATTTCAAACGGAGAAGACTGATATATATATATATATATATATTATATATATATATATATATATATATATATATATATATATATATATATATATGTATGTATGTATGTATGTATGTATGTATGTATGTATGTATGTATGTATTTAACTAAAAAAAAGATCTTTCTTTATAGCGTTCTTTGAAATCTGTTGCTGGTTCTTTTAGCGATTTTCCATAACTACCTAAATTATAAATACATAATTACATAGTTATATTATATAAATATATGCTATATATACAAATTTATAAAAAACACTACTTGTACATCAACAATCATTCTTACTAAAAAATATTTACATTTAAATAAAATGAAAAAACAAATGTTTTAACTAATTTTTAAACAAAATATTACAAAACAACAACGGAAAAGCGATCGTTTTATTCAAATTATTAATAATATAATCAAAATAAAAACAGCAAAACGAGCATTTTAATGTATTGTACCAACAATCATTGTTGCTATTTACATTTACATTCCATGTTATAAAGCAAAATATCTGGAGAATATCCTGAAACTGGAGAATATTCTGAAACTCTTTATTGTGTGTTCTCTAAATGAAATCTTGAGTTAACTTGATGTAGCATTCTGCACAGTCATTTATAACTGCAAGTGTTCTTACACACCCTTAAAAAAGTAAGTAAAAGATTGGAAAACTTTTTATCACTTTAAAACTCTGATATCTTTTTCTTTCCAGAGCAGAGGTTTCTTTTGGAGATCTCTAACAACAAGAATATAAGGTAGGACTGGTTGTTGGCAAAGTCTTTCGATTTTGACGTAGGAAATTTCAATCTGAGTTTCAGGCTTCTTTTTAGCCAGATCTTTCAACTCCAGGATATCATAAGAATGTAACTTGTTTAACATATTGCTCTAACTTCAGTTATCAGTTTTTTATCAGCAAGAGCTAAAAATTGCTTGTTGGGGGAACAAATGCCAAGTATAATGAATGAGGCTCTGGTAAAGAACCTTTCCTATGGCTATAAATTCTGTAAACTTATCTACTGTTTGTAGCTGATAAGCAATTTTAGATCATTTGAGTGTGCTTTATAAGCATTTGAGCTCTTCAGAAAGATCCGCAAAAAAATACATTGTAGTTGATCAGATAATTTAATGTGTTTTTTCTGTCCTAAATTTACCATGTTGGTACATTTGAGTCATACGAATAACCAGCAAGTAAATACAGTCATCCATAAATCTTGTTTCATGATGAGCTTAATGCTTTTTAAATGAGAAATTTAATAACTCATCTCTTGCCAGAAACTCACAAAGATATCTGTAATTACCTCTATAGAAGTTACCCTAATGAAAAACTGTAATACAGAGTTTTTTAGTATGCGAGGTAAGTTAGATCAATAACGAGCCTGGTCTAAAAGCAATTTAAGAAACTTCTCTCAAGTTTGTTTTTGTCTTCAAAAATCTGCGACTGTAGTTTTTGGAGAATTACATAAAGCTTATTTCTAGGATCATTTGTTAGATCAAATATTTCTTTCAAAATATGAGCAGTGTGCCTTTTATAGATATGATGTTAGTACATCGCAATTATGAAATGCACAATCAAAGAACCAGCCTACCTAGGGCATAAGAAATAAAAATCCTTATACCATTTTTATTTTTGCTAGTGTTATTTTACAAGTAAAAATTAAAGATTTTTAATACATTATATACAAGTTTAAATCTGAGGTTTATAAGAAAAGAATTTTTAAACTTGATTTCTACTTAAATAATATATTGACTTAGATTAGTTTCATTAATTTTTGTTGTTCATCAAACACGTATCATTAAATTTGTTGTTAGCCACGCTTTTGTTAAAACATAAATTATTGTTGGCATGGATTAAAATCAATTTTATGTTAAAATTTATTTATTAAAAAAGAATTTAACCGAAATAACCTTACGCTTGCGCTAGAGTTTTTTTGTTTGTATTTAGTTCAACCAGAATTTTATCAAGATTGGAAAGAAATAATAATGGTTTAAATGGTTTAAAATTACTTTTAAATAGTTTTTGTATGTAAAATTATTTACATACAAAACATAAAACATTTTAAAACTAAACTTGGTATCATTTTTTTAAGTCTTGGTTGGCCATAACTGTATATGTATATATATCACCGTTTATAAATATTTGAATGATCATTCTTACCTGAAATTATCTTATTAATTACTGTTAATAAGTTTTTATAAAAAAATAAATAAAAGAAAATAGAAATAAAACTAATTTATAGTTGCTCTCATCTATTAGCACCACCATTTGCTCCAGTTACTGCTTTATATATACATTCTGCATAAAAATTTTTCCAAGATATAGAATTCAATTTTACCACTCACAGTTTTTTTTTTACTAATCTTTTGTACCATATGCATAGTGTTGTCTACTACAGGCCTATTCATTGCAAAATCAGATTTTTTTTTGGCTTCTTTTTATTGGCTAAAAAGATAATTTGTTAAAACGTAGTTTTAAAATTTTAAAGTATTTTAAAATCTCTGTATAGCCTAATAATTTTTTTTGATGAAAAAAAAAAAAAAAAAAAAAAAAGAATCATGTAATAAACAATGTAAATAAAACACAAAGAAATATTTTCTAATTTAAAATTTCACACAATTTACATAATTGTATAATTTCATTTAAAGTTTTGGCTTTACCATCAAAATACAAAATTGATATTTTTTAGACAGTTAGATAGACAATTAGGTAGACTTCTAAGAGATTTTTAATACTTTTAGCGCATGTTCTTTGCCAGGTCTTGGAGTGACAGTGGTACATAAATTAAAAAAAAAAATGTTGCTCAGATGTTCTTCCATATTTAATAAATGATGGTCTGATATAATCATAAAAATACTACTTAAAGATTTTCTGCAAATATGATCTTTAATTATTCGAAAAATTATGAAACAAAAAAATGTCATTTATGTACCCCCAGAACCTTGTGTAAGTATACTTTATTCTTTTTCCAGGTGATCTGATGTAAATTGACAAAGAATAGTTTTTTTGACATAAATCTACTAGTCCATAACAAGTTTAATGCATACAAGTTGCAGTAACTTTAGAAAGCTGTTTGATACGTTTTCCTTGGGGACCTGCCATTTTAAGTGCTATATCACCAAATTGCAGCATTAAATTTAAATGGTTATTGTGAGGATTATTGATAACAGCCTGCAAAGGATCGTTATGCATCAGCACCAATGGCTTTGGCATTTAAAATTTTTTACCAAATAATAACTTTATTGATAAACATAGCAGTGTCGTTAAATTCACTATAAATCATGTCAAGATGTTGCAAAAGAGCTGTGTCAAAAATAGAAGAAATAAAAGTTTCATTCAAGTCAAATAACTTTAAAAAGCTTCTGGATTCTGAATTGTAAAGTTTCTTTAAATTCATTTTGCAATCTTGGTGTATGGAATGTAAAAATTGAATATACAAATTTGTTTTCATTAATATTTTATACTTTTTAAGGAATTTGGGTGAGTGTTGAAATAGACGGAAGTTGATAATCATTTTTTAAGCAATTATATAATGCTCTTGAAGTTGAAAATCATTCAAAAGAGCGTATAACTATTTCAGGTGTATAAAGTTTATCTTCAATTGTTTTTTGGTCCCATAACTGAAATATGTTGCATAATTACTTCTTTTTTATTATCCATTTTCAAGGAGCCTAAAAGACGAAGTATCTCATCAAATTTATACAAGATGTTAACAGTTATAGTTCAATTCACTGTTAAGCTAGAAATGTTACACTTAAACCTATAATGATATGTCTCAAAGGTAAGATTTTCAAGTACAAAATTTTAAGTATTCCATTAAAAAATTGTGAAGATTGTATAACAACATAGCCATCAACCGTAAACAATATAACTAGATATTGGTGATCACTGTTATTGATAAACTTGTTTTTGATGTCACAAAAAATAGCTTTATCTCTTATAAGAAATGTGTCTAGCTCATCATCTAATGTACTTATAATGGCACTTAAAGATTTTAACACTTTTGGTAGTTTTTTAAGTTGAATTAGCAGTTGGAATCTGAGATAAAATTACTCCCAGCCAAACAGAAGGAGCATTTTTTGGTTGATGTTTTCCTCCATGCATTATAACAAAATTTGGAGCCCAGTGTAACTCACAAAAAACAGTACACTTGGTAACAACCAAATTAGAGTTTGGAATAGCTTTTATCCATTTTTCGTGCTCAATGCTATCACTTGGAATTTTATTAACTTCATATTTTGTTTTTTTCACTTTAATAGATGGTGTGAAAAGTATACATACAATGATTTTATCTAAATTTTATAAGTATATTATTTGCTTTGAATTAAGCCTAAAACTTCATGTTTAAACTATTTAAGTTTATTAACATTATATTATATACTATTATTTAGAAATATATCATGTATAACATGACATTTTATCTGGTCTGAACATGGAGAAATAATTCTTTTTTGCTATAAAAAGTAGGCCTCCACAAAAAAAATCTGGTTGTACCATGAATTAGAGAAAACTATGCCCTATGGCATATATTAGAGAACACTTTGACCATAAGACATTTTTTTTTGACATTTTATATTAATTCATCCCATAAAAATCAAATCTTTCTATTCAATGTTTGATTAATTTTTAGCTCATTCAAATAGTTTTAAAATTTTTGAAATACTTTATTGATAAATTTAAAATTGTTATTTTCTTATAAAATAAATGCTTTTTTTGATAAAAAGTGAATGATCCCTCAATAATTTGACTTCCGAAAGGTATAGTATGACTTTTTAAAATGTCCTAATACACTTCTTTTATTGTTATTCCCTCTGTTTTTACTCTGTTTTTACAATGACACCATCAGGTCTAATTGTCAATAGTACACACTGTTTTACAAGGGTTATCTTTTTCCTGATTTTTGGATATTTTACTTAACTTTTAGTTTTTCCGGATATTCAAAGCGTTTTCCATACATACATGTTTAGGTGTAAATTTTTGGAGAGTCAGAATAAAAGTGTATGTACTATATGGACAACCCCTCACCAGTTCATTTTTTATGTAGTTTTGCTCACTCGTTTTTTTTAAAGAGTGAGCAAAACTACATAAAGAAACTGTGCCATCTACTAAAATTCATTCTGGTGTTACTCGTCATTCAATTTAGTCTCATCCTTTTTCTGTTACCGTTCCTAAGTGCTCCAAAAACTCTTATTCGTCTAGTTTTTTTCCTCGAACATCAGTTCTTTGGAATTCGCTTTCTTCATATTTACTCATAGATTTTTGCTATGCAGCTTTTCCTGTTATCTCCTAATAAGGGTACAGCTCTAAAACTCAGTTTGATATTTCTAAGGTTGGCTGGTAGTATGGTTTCCCGAACTCCATGGTAGCCTTTAGAGAGACTAATTCTATCAACAGCTGTAAAGTATCTGAGTATTAACAGTGCCATGTTACACTTGGCATTACGACTAAAAAGATTTTAAATTATATGATTCAAAAAAACAAGATGAAGGGAGCAAATTACAAAAAACTGATGTTTGATGAAAAAATTAGGCAAATAAGAGTTTTTAGAGCACTTAGGAACAGTCACAAATTACCAGACTTACTTGCTCTTTGTGAGACTAATTTAAATTTAGTTTTTTCTTCTTTGAATCTCAGTATTGTTGGCTATTATCTTTTGGTTTGCAAAGACTACAATCGTCACATGAATGATTTGGGTGTATACTTACACATAAATTCATCTATTTGTCAAGAAATCATGTTCGAATCCTCTTACCATTCTTTTATGTGCTACAGCTTAGACCCTCTTGATTCAATCACCTTTATTGTTCTCTTTTTTCTCAAGACTGCACTCCTTTTAATATAATTTCTGATCAAATTGACCAATGTCTTTCTATCCCTCTTCCAATATTGCTGTTATTGATAACTTTAATTGTCATCACACTGAATCGCTTGGCTTTAATAACTGACTCTGCTGACACCAAAACTTATAACTTCTGCATTTCTCAACCTCTTGCTTAGATAATTAAATTTGTGACCTAATTTCCTGACAACTGTAATCTCTTAACTTCACTCATTGATTTGTATCTTGTCTCTGACCCTAGCTTGTGTTCAGTTTTTCTTTGTTCTCCTTTTGGTGGTTCCAACCATGTAGTGATATTTATAAATCTTTTATCTCAGACTTCCTCTTTGGACTCACCCTATCAATGCATTACTTACTACTGCCCTAAAACTGACTGGATCTTTTTTGTGATTTTTTAAATGACAGTCCCTGGGCTGATGTTTCTTGACTCTCTGCTGTAATTGTAAATGTAAATGTAAGAAATCAATGTAAAAATGTGCTCTCTGTTGCTAAGCTCTATTATTTTCAAATTACTAAATCTTGTATCTTATCTCAGAAGTTCTACAGACTTTAGGCTCTCAGAAGTTAGGCTCTACAGACGGAAAATCTTCAACAGTGTCATTAACAAAGGTTAAGCTATTAAAGTCAAAGTTCCATCTCCCATCTTCCATCTAGTAACTCCAAACTTAAAAGTGGTTGCTTTCAGCCTTGTTGGTAGTGAATTTAAAAAGTTGGTAGTTGGTTTAAAAAAAAAAAAAAGTAGTTCTAATTCTACTGTCTTTGTTGGTAGATGCAATTTAACAATGTTTCAATCATTTTTGATTGACTACACTTCCAGTTTTTTCCTTGGTTTTTAATAACAGTTGAATTTAAAATATTTAATTTATTTGCTTATTGATATATTGATGTTCTTTCCAATTAAAAATTGCAGATCATTTTTCTGCAGAGGTATTGTCTGCAGAAAAATGCAAAAATCTGCAATGTTTAAATCAATCAAATGAATTAGATTATATAATGTAAGCAACATAAACATAATACATATTTCTAGAGATTTAAATATTTGTCGGAATGAATTTTGATAGATTGTACTAATAGTTAAAGAAAAATTTTAAAATTAATAAAAATGGTCATTCTGACCATTTTTTTAAAGTGAATAAAAATGTTCAGAATGACCATTTTTATTAATTTTAAAATTTTTCTTTAACTATTAGTACAATCTATCAAAATTCATTCCGACAAATATTTAAATCTCTAGAAATATGTATTATGTTTATTTGGTTACATTATATAATCTAATTTAAAACATAAAGATCAGGCCTAATAGTTGCATGATTTATGAACGATTGATTTAAACATTGGACTTTATAATTGCATGTAATTGCAAGTAATTAACAAAACAGTACGCTTATGCAAATAAATACTAAATCTTCAACTTCACTTCAACTTTAACAATTTAAACATATATTTTGTTAAACTTTATGATTTTTATCATAAAGTTGATTATTTTATGATTTTTATCATAAAATATATGTTAAAATTAGTTAAAAAACTAAATAAAAACAAAATATGTTTTTTTTTTTTTTTTAATGAAATTATTTTAATCAAAATAGTTTATATTATTTTAAATTAAATACTAAATTAAAAATTTATTAAGTTAAAGCATTTTTTTATTAATTTGTTATCAATCTAATTGTTTTTAGAATTTATTTTATGTTTTCTGTTAACATAAAATGAACTTTTTTAGGGTTACACAATTCCTTTGGATAAAAGATTAGCTGCAGATGGTAGAGGACTTCAAGATCCCACTATCAATGATAAATTTGCCAAGCTGGCTGAATCATTATATATTGCTGACAGAAAGGCTAGAGAGGCTGTAGAAACAAGAGCAAATCTTGAAAGGAAACTAGCTCAACAAGAACAAATGAAAAAGGAAACTAAATTAAGGGAACTTGCAGAGAAAGCAAGGCAGGAACGATCTGGTTTACATACAGGTTTAAATTTTTTTCCCACAAAAATTCTTTAAAAAAGATTTATTTAAAAAAAAAATTTCTTTTTCACAATCATGCACATTAGTAATGACATTGTTACATTAATAATGACATGTTTATATGTTATTATTGTACCAACAATACACAACAACAACAACAACAAAAAATAAGTAGCCTCCTCGACTGTAGTGGCCCCCTCGGGCCTTGGGGAGGTGAATAATTAATATATATATATATATATATATATATATATATATATATATATATATATATATATATATATATATATATATAATAAAATAATATATATTATAATACCATGTTATTAATGAAATAAAGTTGTATATAAAATATCTTTTAAGCATCAAAAAATGCTGATGAAGCTGAGCGAGATGCTGTTCGGAAAGATAGACAAAGAGAACGAGAACGAGACAAAAGAATATCAAAAGCAGGAGCAGAAAAAAAGTTTACATTTTACTACTTATTATTATAAACTATTATTTTTATTATTAAACTATAAAAATAATATATTAAATTATTATTATTATTACTGTATTACTATTATTATTATTTTAACAATCACCCTCTGTATATTTACAAGGTAAGAATACAAACTAAGAAAAAAGAGAGATAAAAAGTTGACATTTTTCTTCAAGTGTGTTTTTAAAAATTGTTCGCTGTTGTTTTACATTCCAACATTGAACTGCCTGTACCAAAATATGAAGAGTAGGAATTACATTCTCTGAGTCTTTAAGTTTTACTTTTTTTTTAACCAGCATTAAGGTTTTCATATTCAGTTTATGATTATCACATAATTCTTTTATATCATCTAAAAAAGAAGATTTAACTGAACGGTAGTTAAGTTAAGAATTTTAATTTAGGATTAAGATTTAAATTAGGATTTCAAAGGTTATTATTATATTATATTACTATTATTATTATATTATTATATGCTTACTTTTAAATCTTGATAAAAAGATATTCATTAAGCTTTCTAATTTTTTCTAGATCAAAAAATATTCGTGACAAAGATCGAGACATCAGTGAAAAAATTGCACTGGGACTACCAAATACTGGTGTATCTCAAGAAGCTATGTATGATCAAAGACTATTCAATACTAATGAGGTTTGTTTTATTTTTTATGTACATTTCTCAATTTTTTCTACTTTTACTTACTTTTAGAAATTGACACGAAAAAAAACACCTGCAAAATAACATTCACTGCCTTTTTTTGAAATGGTTGCTTGCAACCTTTTCAAAAATGAATTAGTTTTAATAACTTGTATATATATTATCTCAGGAGACGCATGCAGTCACATGCCTTATATGTCCACGCATACAATATATATATTTTTGACAACTTAGCCTTTTTTCTTACATGTATTGATAATTTGCGTGTTTTAAAAAATGCAAAACCTTATTGCTACAAAATAACATTCACTGCCTTAATGCGTTTTGCATAGTTAAAAATGTTATTTTAACCGGTAAAATAAATAAATAAAATAAATAAATTTTAAAGTAATCAAATAAAAACTTAAAGTAGATATTAATTTTAGAGTAAATTTAATAAATTATTTCAACTATAATTTTAACTTAAATTTAATGAATCTTTTGTTGTATTTAGAGTTAGTGCAAACTTTTTTTTTCATTGCTGTTTATATATGTTTGTATTTAAATATCATAAACTTTCAATTTGTGAAATAAAGAGAAAAACTTCAGAAAAAAAAGATGAAGATAATTAAATCAAACCTTCTCTTTTATTTTTATTTTTTTAATGTTCTTAATTTTATTTTTCTTTTTATCTTAATAGAATGTAAAAGTTCTTTTTTTCATAAATCTTTTTTTGATACCCTTGAAATAGAACTTAGTAATATTTTAATATTGTATTTCTGTTTGGTTGTTGTGTCTTTTGCAACAACAAAAACTCTGAATAGCGTTATGAACCATCTATTTGTTGCTCTATTAGTAGTAATGTTTTTCAGTGGTAGTTTTCAAGTATTAATATCCCGCCATGATTAGAAACTGGAAACTAGGAACTAATCAAATGTCAAGTTCAATTTTTTTCTATTTTTAACTTGTTTGATATAGTCAAGTAATCAAAAAAAAATTAAATAGAGTCTTTGTTGTACTAAGTTTATTTTATACAATTTTTCATTATTTTAAATTTATTTATTAATCTTTTGTTTCTTATATTAATGTAACTATTCTTACAATTCCTTACAATACAATTCCTTACAATACAATTACTTACAATTGCAATTCCTTACAATATAGTTACTTACACTTTCGATTCCTTACAATATAATTACTTACATATGCAATTCCTTACAATATAGTTACTTACACTTGCAATTACTTACAATATAGTTACTTACACTTGTAATTTCAAAAAAAAACATATAGTTATGTAACTTTGCACAAATTATTACAAAAAAATATTCTCTTTTGTCATACTTTTGTAGGGAATGGACAGTGGGTTTGGTGAAGATGATAGTTATAATGTATATGATCAACCTTGGCGAAAAACAGATGCTGTTTCATCAATATATAGACCTTCAAAAAATATTGATAAAGATCTATATGGAGATGACATCGATAGTTTAATTAAAAGCTCTAAGCGGTACTTATTATTTTAACTTTTTAAATTTGATTTTTCTATAACAAAGAATTAACAAATCAAAATCAAAGAATAATTTCAACAAAAAATTGTCGTTTTGAAATGAAGTAAAAGAAATTGTCATTTTGAAAGAAAGTAATAAGTGACTGGGGTTTGACTAGGATTGGGGCTGGATTTGATAAAAAATAGCTGGGGCCAGGTTTGTGACCGGGGCTGCATAAGCATTGGTACATCTTGAAGTATATTTTTTTAATTTGAAATTTATGTTGTATTTTATATATGTATGCTTGTATATTTTTATATAAACATCATAATAAACATGATCATCATCATGCTCCCTGTCATCATCATCATTATCATCATCATCATTATCATCATCATTATCATCATCATCGTCATCATCATCATCATTATCATCATAATCATCATTATTATCAAGCTTTCCCTTTTATGCTGTTTCTCTAATATAAAAAATCTAAAGCATTTTTTTTCCTCAACTAAAGCTTGTTCATACCATATGTAATTTACTCCCTCCAAGTTTTCTTGCTTCTACCTCTACAATTTTCTCCTGAAGCTACCTCTCTACATGTTGATACCCAAACCACTTTATTTTTCTCTGACAAAAGTTGTTCGATACAATGTTTTTTCTCTTTCTAAGATTATAACTCCTCTTCTTGTCTTATTATAATCCTACTGCACATCTATCTGATCATCATCTTTTCTTTTGGCAAATACTACACCATATAAATAATAAAGTTTATACAAATGTGTAAAGATATTGAATGCTAGCATCTAAATAAATGGGAAACATGTTTATATCCATATATATTCATATTATGTATGCATAAATGTGGTTATTATATAACCTCCTGGATCCAAACAGGTGTGGAAGTTTTTATTCTTTCTCTTTGGTTTTAAATCAAGCCTCATTCTACTCCACGTTTTTCACCTTTTTGTGCAGTTGCTATATTAAACTGTAATCTTTTTTTTTTTTTTCTATCTTTTTTACAAGAACATTTTTATTAAAAACTAATGTCTTTTTATTAATGGAAGAAGTTAATGTAAAAGATACTGTCTGATGCTAAGCTCCATTATTCTAAGTTTACTAAATCTTGTATCTTATCTCATGTTACTAAATCTTGCATCTTATCTCATGTTACTAAATCTTGCATCTTATCTCATCTTACTAAATCTTGCATCTTATCTCATCTTACTAAATCTTGCATCTTATCTCATCTTACTAAATTTTATCTCATGTTAGGATCTAAAGAATTTAATCTTTAAGAATTTCATTAACTAAAGTCTGACATTACGTGGTCTGACATTGGTCTGGTCATATTACTTCTTACCACATTAAGGCAGAGTTATTTCCAAAGAAGTTTTACTTTAATTTGACTCTTGAATGTAATTGCCATGCTTTCCCTGCCTTTCTAGCTAAACAGGTCAACTCAATATTAGACATTTAAATGCTCTCTAGCTTTCAACACTAAAGTAAATTCTCATTTCCTACTTGTTTGTTGTCTAGACAACATTTCCATCATAGTCTTACAAAAGTGTTCTGCAGAACTCTCTTCAATCCTCGCTAAACTATTATTAAGTGCTAAATAAGTGGTTCCAATATATAAAAAAACTCTTGAAAATACTCAGACCTCTTTAACTATCCTATGAATAGGTCTTTTTAACCGCATTATTAAAGTCATTCTAAAAAGGCCTTTAAAAAACTCTTATTTATTTTGAGTAACTTTAGGAGTACCCAAGATTCTATACTTGCTCCTGTATCATTTGTTTATCTTCAATAACAATCTTTTTGACAATTTTTGCTGACAACTCAACTTTACTTACAACTTTATCTCTTGTCTTGTCTTGATAAAAAGTCTTCACTTTTTGATCACTTAAAACAAGCAACCATCAGGGTCTTGTCATCAGCTGATCTTTAATCTGATCTCTCTTCTGTAACAGTGGCTTGTGGATTTTAACTCCTACACAACTCAGTTATTTACTGCAAGCTACTATTGCAATGTTGTTAACATTCCTATATTGATGAATAGCAACCCTCTTACTTTACAACAAGGTCTAAAAGCACATTGTAAATGTAGTTGGATCTGCTTTATCTGCCATGCTTGAGCCACCATCCAATCATTGCAAGTTTGCATCTCTTTCTTTTTTCTACAAATATTATCATGTTTGCTGCTCAAGCGAGCTATCATCTCTAGTTTGATCAACCAAACTCATTCTTGCTTGGCTTATCATTCAGTAAAGTTGCATCCTTTTATTGTATCTGTCCCTCCATGCTATAATTTTCTTTTAGTTTATTTCCTCACACATCAACAAAATGTAAAAACTCTCACCCATCTTCATGTTTTCCTGACTGATAAAACCTACAACTTTTTAAATATTCAGGTAATTGTTTCCTTTCTCTTTAACCTTATCCTTTGTTTTCTAGTAACTCATGGCTTAATAATGGTTGCTTGCAACCATTATTATAATTGTAATTTTCAAAAATGAATTAGTTTTAATAACTTGTATATATATTATTTCAGGAGATGCATGCAGTCACATGCCTTATATGACCATGCATACAATATATATATATTTTTGACAACTTAGCTTTTTTTTCTTACATGTATTGATAATTTGCGTGTTTTAAAAAATGCACTGAAAAAACCAAACTAATTTAAAGAGAATATTAAAATTAAATAAACCATAAACTGAAAAAAGAATTAAATTTAACAAATGATAAAATAAATTAAGGGTAAAGCAGAGAAAATAAAAGCATAAAATTAATATATTTTTTGATTTATATATATCAAACTTAATCAAAAAGTGTTTCAATTAATAGTTTAAAGCTAATAGTTATTCCTATATCGCTTGATGTAGTGTTTAGGTTGATTAATTGTGACATTTATGCACAACTATTGTATTGGCAGTGGATGAGGATTTGAATCCTACTAACGTATAATTTTTTATTATTGTTTTATTTTCTTTGTAGACATTAGATAATGTCAAAGTTTCACTTTTTTCAATAGTTAAGTTCTCCACAAAATATTGCTGTTTTAAATGAAGAACTTGGCTAAACTTTTAGAATTATTTGCCACTTTTTATAAAAAAAAAAAAATAAAAAAATGTATTTCAAATATTTATTAAATAATTTTTACACATTTTACAACTATTAATCAAAAGAATTTTACTTAAACCAAATTATTAACTGAAACATTCAAGTCAGTAGAGCAAATTGTTTATTTTACTTGTATAGTATGCGAGGTCATATGATTGTTTTAAAATGAAAACAAAAATTTATGCATAAAACTTAGATAAATTTTTTCTAAATTAGCCAAGTTTGAAAACATATTTGATAACATAGCTAGAGGTACAGAAAATGATTTTTTAATTTTCATATTCATAAAAGGTTGAAGTATTATTAATTCCGCAGACTTTTCAAAAATGTTGTTTTTTATTTAAAACAAATAAAAACAAAAATATAAATGCATTAAAAACTAACTTTTAGTAAAAAAATTATCAAAGTCTGCGGAAGCCTAGATAGAACAGACATTCATTAACAAGTATTCCAAATTGCAACCATCAACCATGTAGCTATGTTATAAAATCTTAGTTAGCCTTTTTTTTTGTAAAAATCACAAAAAAACAGAAGTGATCCCAAATTTTTAGCAATATTTTTACAACTTTTTTTTTTATTCTGTTAAATGTAAATATTTATTTTACAAGGAAAGGTAGATCTTTTATTATTTTTTTTTTTAAAAAAATAAAGACCTTTGTAGAAAAAAAAAACACTTATTTTAAAGTTAGTGAATTTTTATACTTTTATACTTTTTTTTTGTGATAAACTCATGATGTCAGGCTCGCTTTTATATTGATTGAAACAGCCGTGATATAATACCAAATTATATTTAGTTTTTATATGATGTAAATTTATTATAGTATAAATATAAATATTTAGTGAATAATGGTTTATATATAATATATATTTATGATTATGAGTTTTTAGGTTTCTAAATTATTTTGTTCATTCTGTAGATTTACTGCTGACAAAGAATTTGCTGGGTCAGATCGAAATCAAGTACGAGATGGTCCAGTTCAGTTTGAAAAAGAAGAAGAAGATCCATTTCAACTTGATAAATTTTTGCAAGATGCTAAACGTGGTGGAAAACGAACAGATAAATCTGATAAGTAAGTTTTTTTTTTAAGTTATTAAAACGTTAAATAAATAACAAATTTATATAATTATAAAACAAATAGTTTATATAAATGGACAAAATGTTACAATGTTGATTTCATAATTACTTATAAAGTTTTTCTACAACTTTGTAAAATTTTTTGAAATAAGTTAAATCTTACAAGTGTTATATTTTTATGTTATATGTTGTATTTTATTTCCCTTTGAAATGTAAAAACGCACGTGATATTGGCTAAAACTGTGTAATTTTGATGTGTAATTTCATGAGTTATGCGTATTTATAAAATTATTACCACATGATATTTTGATATTTTAGAGACCATGATAAATCTTCTAAGCGCCCGAAGCATTAAAAGGAAATTATAATTAAAGAATTATTTGTGGATTTTTTTACTTCTGTTAAAAGATTGCATAATTCATAAGACTATACTACTATGTTAAACTTATGAAGCCACCAATGTGGATTGAATTAAAATTAATTTGTTGTAATATTGGTTATATATGTAAATAAATACTGATGTAAAATTATTAGTCTTTATTTAAATAATATTTGTTTTCAAATCAAAATTTTGTTTTCGTTTTTTTTTTTTTTTTTTGCAAGATTTTTTTTTACCATAATATTATTTTTTTTCATAATATCATACATATAATTAGTTTTAGACTCCATTTTTATCTGTTTTTAATGTTTTAATTTTATTAAGTTTTTAGAAGAAAAATGTTTCTAAAATAAAATTAGAGTTATCTTTAATATTAGTATTATAAATATGTATAACGAAGATGAAGATGAACAGAGTGAAAAAAATTCTGGACCTGGATTTGTTGGCATCAAGTTTTGCCAGGAATGGTATTGAATATTTTTTATTTTTTTAAAATCCAAAAAAAAAAAAAAGAACATTAAACCAATTTTAAAAAATTATAAAAAATAGTTCAGATCTATTTAGATACAAATCTGCTTAGATAATTGAGTAGGATAATTGCTGTTTGAATGATTGAGTTTGTTGGTGGAGATTAAAAATAGAGTTTATTAAAGAAGTTATAATATAAATACCTATAAAAAGTAATTATAGTTATAAAAATTAGCATTTGCAAACATAAAAAAAGGAAATTAGAAGTTAAGTTTATAGAATTAGAAAATGTGGAGATAATATGTGATCGCTTAGTAAATGTTACTTAAAATGTGAAGATAATATTCACATATTATCTCCACATTTTTTTAATCATGATCACTTAGTAAAAGTTACTTAAAATGTGGAGATGATATATGACCACTTAGTAAATATTACTTTTGTAATGGATTTGATATATTTTTAATATCGTTTAAAAAAGTGTAAATTATTTGTATTAGAAAAAACATAAAGACAATAGAGCATTCAAAAAAAGTTATTTTGTTATTCATCAATTTTTTCTTGTATTATAGATTTAAGTAGACAAAAAAAAGTTGGTAATTGTATAACTATATGTGCTATAATATAAATATGTTATATGCTTGCTAGTGTAATGATAACTAACATTAACATATCATCAAAGTTATAGTGATGAGCTAAAAAGCAACTTTATTTTGCTTCAACTTCTTTTCTTCTTTTCAACTTGAAAAAAAATTGCATGGATAAAGTTTTTGAAATAAAAACTACAGGTGATTTTTTCTACAAGAAAGAGGATTCCATTAAGCACTTTAAATAGTTTGAGATTTAACAGAATTTTTTTCTTTGGCATTTTATTTTCTCTCTCTCAATATATGTGTGTGTGTTTATATATATATATATATATATATATATATATATATATATATATATATATATATATATATATATATATATATATATATATATATATATATATAAACACACACACACACACACACACACACACACACACACACACACACACACACACACACACACACACACACACACACATATATATATATATATATATATATATATATATATATATACATCAGCCCTCAAGATTAAGGTTGGCATTTGGCAGTGTCAACCTAGCTGCCGATATAAAAATGCTTAAGGTCAGCAATTTTTTAAATTTTGCCAACCTGGTTTCTATATTTTATGGTAAAACCTTTGTGTCAAGTTTTTTACCAACCTGATGCTGACCTCAACAGTTTAAGGTCAGCAATTTATTGCCGCTCTCAATTTTCATAATTCCAAGGGCTGTATATATACATACATATATTGGATATGCAGTCTGCAAATAAAATATTTTATTTACTTTAGTAACAATATGTTGTATCCAAAAGAAGATAAAGAAAGAAAAATATTAAATTACAGTGTGAGTATATTTGTTTCTATACCTCTGTATCTTAATATTTCTTTTTTTATATTAAAATAAAAAAAACATTATTTAATAAGATTTGTATCTATTTATTTTGTGCTTTATAAAAAGTGCATTTGTTAAAAAGAGATAATGAAAAGAAAAACAAGAGCTAATTTTAATAAAGATAGTATTAAGATAAATGTAGATAAAGATAAAAAGGACAAAAACAAGAAAAAAATATTTTGAAGAAAATATTTTTTCAAATTGCATTAAAAAAGTTTATGAATTATATTATAATAGTATATATCTTTATAAATATAACTGTGTAAATCTATATAAAAGTCTAAAGTTTTTACTGTGCTTTATGCTTAAGTTTTTTCTGTTTTTTAAGGGTAAATGTTTTGCTGTGTTTTATGAGTAAAGTTTTTGCTGTGTTTTATGGGATATACTTGTTAAAGGAAAATAATCACCGTCATAACCTACATAAAAGTTATAAGCAATCGATGCTTAAGAGTAGGACACACCCAAAGATTGTGCCCAAAGAAGTTTTTCCGTTACCAAGAAAAACCGACTAATGACCTATATCTCCTATATCTTCGCAACAAAACCAACGAAACTATAATACTCAAAACCCGTTTGAATATAGTAATACTTCTAAAAAGATCTTTACCAAGACCATACAGAAAATATCTATTCAGATAACCAAATTCCTCAAGGATGCACAAACACTAAAGAATTTCATAAAGATAAAGAAGACTCGTGCAAGGGTTGAATTAACGCATCGCGATTTGCGATATCTGTTAAATTATCTGGTCTTCAAAGTTTCAGTTTATGGAAAACCACGAAATTTACGGAATAGGCGAATAAACTTTAATTTGTTAGTGAAAATGTTATGAAAAACAAAACAATAAATTTATGACTACAAAAGTAATAACACTACAGTGTTGTTACTTTTATAACACTCTTTTAAGTTACATTTATAGTTTATTTTTTGATCAAACAACACATAATCAAGATATTATAAATAAAAATGATTTAGTTAAGTAATTCCAAACTTTAATTAAAGTAGTAATGCATCTAAAAAAAATACAATGGATATTTAAACAATGTTAAAAACCTCAGCAACTTTTACGAATACATATTTTTATAAACAGTTTAGCATTTCTAAACATATTACTAACGGTCCGAAAAAAATGCGCGTTCACTTTAAAATCAACCAATAAAAACACTGGTAATTTACTTCTTAGGAGAAATCTATATTAAAAGGGGAGGGGGGGAGGCTAAAACCTTAAATTTTGTATTTAATATAAATAATACATGGCAGGATTATATGACCAAGATTCCTAGATGGGAAGTGAGACATCTAAACACCACGAGTTTCCTATGGTGAAGTTATTTCCTGTAGTTTATTCACTGATTTTCTTTTTATGCTGTTTTGCACTTTTGATTTTTATGTTGCTGCTATCACACTGTTAGCAACGATGATTTTTGATTTTTTTTTTAATGATGATGTTTTGTGATTATGAATTTTATGATGCTGTTTCACAATGATTTTTACGTTAATTACAATAAACTTTTATAGTGCTGTTCTGAAACAATAAAAATAAATTTTTATTGTTCCAGAACAGCACTATAAAAGTTTATTGTAACTTTTATAGTGCGACTTTTTCTTGGTTCGTGAGTAATGTTACAAAGGTTGCAAACAAACCATTCAAGCGAAATGCTTGAGTTAATCGAACCATATAAAAGTTTGGCATAAGCGCTAGAAAACAAGGTGAACTAAAGAATTTGTTTATGAACTAAAATGTGTTTAGCGTCTGGAAAGTATATAAAAACGTGGGTTAGTGAAAGTTAAAAGGTAGAGTTGTCGACGATCAGTCTAGAGAGTGTTACCAATCACTAAGGGTTGAATAATCCTGGTTGTTGGAGACTACCAATATATTCGTTTAGTTATTGTATTAATTATTTTGTAATAATTATATTTTATAATAATTTAGCAATTTTTATATTCCAATACAAGTTACCACAAAGCATTATACACTGCGCAACATTTGAATACAAAAACAGTAACATTTTACATAAATTGTGTGTAAACATCTTACAAAACAATACTATACTACTATATTTAAGTATAAAGTTATATGTAGGCGGTAGAGCGTTTGCCTGCAAAAACATCAAGTACCTTAGTTTGGCCCTTATTTTAAGATATTTTTCTTTATTTTTATTTTTTAAAACTTAAAACAAGGGATCATGTTTATTTTGAAGTAAATCATTTATAATAAATTCACTGTAATGTGTCATTCGTTTAATTTTATGTAACCATTATTACTTATTCATTCTTAATTTGCAGTTTAGCGGATTTGTTTTCTGGTTTTGAATAAAGAATGATTTGAATTCAAATTCAAACCAACGTCTGATGCCAATAAAAACCTTTTTAATATTTTTATATTAGATATATTTTAATCACGTTTTTTTTTTGTTAATTTTTGGTAAATTTATTAAATAAAAAGTTTTTATTTACATTTTGTTTCTAGTCACATAAAAGATATAATTTTTGTTATTATTATATATATTATATATAATTTTTGTTATAATTATATTTCAATGATATTATAAAAGTTTCTAATTTAGTTTTTTTTACTATTGGCTCATTTTATTGTATAATTTCTTGATATTTTGTAGTGTAGAAATTGCAGCTATCAAGAACGCGCACAAAATTCTTGCATCTATGTCAACATGATTGTTCACGATGTAAAGTAAAGAGATATTAAATCTCTCTATAAATTGAGTATTAAATCATAATGCTCTTAATTTTTATGTAAAAAATTTTATTCTAGAAATTAATCTTTTAACATTTTGCTATGAATCAAAAAATTTTATATAATTGATTTCAGTGAGTTGTCACAGATTATTGGAGATGTTGTTACAGATCCAACGCTCCCAAAGACAACAGATCATCCTTGTCCAAAGTATTAAATTCAATTTGTTTTAATATAAATTGTAAATAAATTTAAATGTACAAATAATAAATTATTTAATTAGCTAATTTGAAAATATTTTATGTGTATGGTTTTAACTTGTTGTTATGGTGATGATACTTGTAGGACGGTTATACTTATTATGATTTTTTCTGATGATTTTTTTTTTTTTTATGTTAAATATTCATGTTTTCACACTTGTGTGGTTTGGACAGGTTTCCATAATGTCACTTTCTTATTTAAATGAAAATACTGAATCCTCTACTCCACCCCATTTTCAAACAGGATTTAAAAATTTATTCTAAATGTTGTTTGAACTGTTATGCTTGAGCTACTGTTCCGTCATTTTTAAGTTACATTTCTCTTTTCTACAAATATTACCATGGTTGCTGCCAAGCAAGCTATCATCTTGTTTCATCAACTTAATCTCACATGACTAGTCATTCAGTCAAGTTTCATCCTTTTACTGCAACTGCTCAATGATGCTCAAAAACATTTCATCCTTTTACTGCAACTGCTCAATGATGCTCAAAAAACATTTCATTCTTGTACTGCAACTGCTTAATAATGCTCAAACAAATGAAACAAACAAATGTTATCATTTTGAATCGAGATTAGAAAGAAAAAAATACTTTTACTTTATTTTATTTTATAAAATGTATAGGCACACTGATTGTTTTTCTTTTTTTGTGTGTTTTCAGGTGTGGCCACAATGAAGCTGTATTCTTTCAATCACAGTCAAATAAAGCTGATGTAGGCTTGTTTTTTTTTTTTTTTTTTAATTTTTAATTTTTTTTTTGGCAACAAATATTTTAAAATCTTTTTTTAAATTTATTTGTAGCACATGCGATTGTATTATGTCTGTTGTGGTATGAACTGTCAGCATAAATGGTCTGAATGATGAAAGAGTTTCTTTGTTATATTTTTGTGATTAGGTGGATATGCAGATAAATGAAGAATTTATTTACTCTAAAACTCAATGAATGTAAAAAAATCGAAAAAGTAAAAAATAAAGAATATAAGTTTGTAACTTAAAACAATTGAAAATATAAGTTATATAAACAAATATTGTGTTGTTTTTTTTTTGTTTTTTGTTTTTAAATTATTATCATGAACTTGTGTTTGTATGTGTGTATATATATATATATATATATATATATATATATATATATATATATATATATATATATATATATATATATATATATATATATATATATATTATGAACAAATGATTTTTGTTTTGATTAAATTTAAAAGTAAATTCTATTTATATTAAGTATATCTTATTTTAAAATGTCTTTTGTTTTTTCATTGTTACAAATATATACGTTTACTAAAGCGTGTTTTGATAAGCATTTGCTCACTTTTTCTGCTTACCTTACGCTATACCGTTTTTTTTGAAAAAGAAGAAAAAAAAAATAAAGAATGATGAATAAAATGATTGCTGCCCCATCCCAAACCCTCAGTCGATGTATCAGCACTCTACTGCGAGTCATTTGTCAGTCGATGTATGTACTGAAGCCCCCAGCAGCAGGCTATTTCAGTATGACGTCAGATTGCTTACCTTAGTATGCAATACTATTTGTATTGTTATTGCGAGTTGACCTGGTAATAAAATTGTAAAAAATAAAATCACATTTATAATTCATAGAGCATTTTATTATAATCTTGAATCTTTATGCAAATTTTATTTTCTATGTGTGGTATATGTGTGTTTTATATATGTGCGGTATGTATGGGGATATTGATTTGCTGACAAAATATATTTTAATGTTTTTGTTTAACAATGACACTGTAGGAAAATGGGAAAAAATTACTATTGTGAGTTTTGTGAACGCAGCTTTGCTGATATATTATCGATTCGAAAAAAACATATCTTATCAACTCAGCACCAAAGAATGCGAAAGCTTCATTATGACTCTTACAAAGGCTTGTGAATTGAAATTAATATATAGTATATATAGTCTGTATATAGTACATAATATAAAATACATTTTTATTATAATTTAAAAATAATTTTGTTTAAATTTTAGATGCTGCTTCCATTTTAAATGAAGAATCACAAAAAAATCCTTGCAACCGTTTTTTTCAGACTGGTATATATTTTTTTATTAAATTTTTGCTCCCATGTTTTATTTTTATTTTCTAACATATTGACTGATTTTTTAGGGATTAGTGGTCAGTTTACATATACAGAGTGATGGTTTTGGTTGGGAGAGACAGTTTATAAAAAATAACTGTCTTGATAATAAATTGTCAGTATTTAAGGGTCGAATTAAGTGATCACGAATATCTGGAAATACTTCTGGCCTTTAAATGTTTAGTTTATTAAAAAGTTTAAACTCGTTTTTTATCACAAAACTCAATAGTTGTTATTTGATAAAAAATATTTGTGCATTGATCTTGAAATTATTCTAAAAAATCTCATTACAAAACTGTTATTGTTATTTTTATTAGTTTTTAAAAAATTATGATTTAAACTTCAATATAGATACAGCATACAGTACAATCTAATATTATAAATGAAGCAACCACAAATCACGACAGTCTAATGGAATTACAAAAAACAACCACAAATCACAACAGTCTAATGGAATTTATTAAATGTTATATATAAAGTAGAAATTTTGACTACTTTTATATCTTGTTAAATTCCTGTTCAAAATCTATTATAAATCAAATACGAATGTCTATTAACCCTTTAAGGCCTGGTGTGCACATAGAGAGACATTTTTAAAGTTATGATTGCACTCAATCATGAAAATTTTTTAAGCTAAAAGTTAGTTCTAATATAAATCATACTTTATTAAAAACAAAGTTAGTGCATGTCGGGAAATTTTCCTGTTTTAAATACAGCATCAAGATAAGGACTGACAAAAAAGTAAAGTTTTAGGCGAAGTGCCATATACTTTTCCAAAATTTTGTGAAAAATAAACACATGCTAAAATGACTGAATGGAAACTATTTTATAAAGATTAAAATCAGGTTTTCTAATGTTTTGTAAAGATTCTGCTACTTTATGCTTTAAGGAAATTTAATTTTTTGTACACCTTTGTGCACATAAGGAACTTGCGCCGTGCTAAATTCCTTTAAGCACATAAGGAAGATAGGGCACAATACATTATTTTGTGGACATATGATCTTAAAACACGCAAAACAGTTTTTAAATAGGACTTTTTAATTTGTCTTCAGTCATTAAGTACTTCTATTTACTCAATCGTGTATCGTGGGGGGCAAACCTCAGCTTTGCCCCCCAGCTTTGCCTGGAAAGCATGGGGGACTTGAGCTGAAAAAGTGCTTCATGAAGGTTTTTGCAGGGGAATGGGGGTAATATATAGTCATAATGCTGTGTTTACTTATGAAAAAAACTTATTGTTTTAAATTTATTGTTTTTTGCTGCTGGTTGTGGCGGTACTTAGGATTTGCTTTAATATTTTTGTTATCCCCAATGTACACGTATGTGTACTAAAAATATATCTTAAACTTGGTATTTTAACCCTAAATAAATTGGTGATATTTCTAAACGACTAGCTATGAGAAAAATTAATTTGTTTAAATTTAGTTTCTCTAATTAGAGCCTAGGTCTTGAAGGGTTAAATACACATAACTCTAGCACAGATATTTATATGAAATTAAAGACAAAGGTGTTTAAAAACTAGTTTAAACCACTCATAATTACTTTAAAATAAAACAAAAAAATTTTAATAACATATTTTAAATCAAATCTTTTTTATCATTATTTTTATTATCAATTAACTAATGGTTAATGTAAAAATTGAAAGTTTCAAATAAATAATTCTTCAAGTAGTTTCCTAACAAAAATTAGATTTGAATTTTTTGTACAATGCAAATAGCTTTAGTATAATTTTTAATTGGTTGATTTAAAGACTACCCCATTCACTTTACAAACCTTTAGGTGCTTTTATTTTAACTTTATTTTTTATGTATAGTTGAATTAATTGGTGTTTAAACAAGCAATAATTTAAAATATGTTAGTTTTTACTGTTATTATTTTTGCAGCCATGAATTTATTGTTTTGTTTTTCATAAATTTTTGCAATATGATAAATAAATCCTTTGATTAAAATAGTGTTTATAGGAATTTGAAGACCAGAAATTTTTACAGATTTTAAAATTTGAGATCACTTAATTTGCCTCTTGGCATTTAAGCTATCAACAGGATTTTTTAATATAATTTTTTCTATATTATGTAATAGGTTTTCTATATTAAGTTATGTTTTCTATATTAAGTTATGTTTTCTATATTAAGTTATGTTTTCTATATTAAGTTATATGTTTTCTATATTAACTTATATGGTTTCTATATTAAATTATGTTTTCTATATTAAGTTCTATGTTTTCTATATTAAGTTGTTTTTAAGCTCTACCACAAGTTTAAGACTATCTATGAACATTGGTGCTTTTTTAAAATTAAGTTTTAAATTAACATTCGTTTTTAAATCATATTAAAAAGAGTCACACCACACATCTAATTATTATCATCTCTGCTCTAATTATCTTCTTCCTTTTTGTAGTTATTCATCAAATCATAATCTTCTCTGTTCTTTTAAAGTGCTGGGCATCATCAATCTTCATTGCCCATGTTTTACTGCCATGCATCATAACACTCTAGATGCATGTGGTGTACAACTTTTCTTTAATCTTTAATCATGGACCTCTTGCTGTATGAAGTTCTTAAAACTTGACCTTGCCTTTAATCTTGCTCTTGATGCCTCCCAATCCACTAGCTGATCCAGTTGTATCTCTGATATAACAAAATTTAAAAACTCACTCTTTTTTTTTTCCCTACTATTTATTTGAATCTTTTTTATTTTATTTCAGTATTTACCAAAACTACATTTATACAGTCAAAACGAACAATATTAGGAGTACCCTGTATATTTATTTTTTATTGAGCTAATTTTGATATTACCATTGTAAAGTAATCATTGCTAACGGTGGCATTATATTTTTGATAAATAATAATAAATGCAGAAATTTAAAGTATACACTTAGAATGTGTATTAAGTGTTTTTCAGAAAATGAAATTTAATCAAAAAATAATTCGTAAATATTTTTTTAGTATTTTTTATTTATGCCACTTTTTATGCACTGAAAATATTTTTACATTTTAATTTGTCCAAATTGTTATGTGTTAAAATGGAACCTAATAAAATCTACTTTAATAAATTTAATAAGTTTTTAATAAATTTACATAGAATTCCATTTCTACCTACATCTGTAGAGTGGAGAAGATAAAAATAATATTGCAATCTTATATAAATGTTTGTATAAAATTTATTCCTAAATAATGCAATGTTATATAATGGTTGCATGATACAGACATGTTGGTAAAGACCTTATACAGACATGTTGGTAAAGACCTTATTCCAACATGTCTGTATCATGCAAGCAATATATCTGTAGTTTAATAAGAATTCATACACTTTCTCATCTCTTTTTTTTTTATGAAAACCTTTTCATTTTGTATTTTAAGGAAAACCTTTTCATTTTGCATTTTAAAGGAAGCTTTTTCATTTTGTATTTTAATCATATATTTAAATCTATTTGTTGCTACCAGGGATGCAGAGTCCCAAAAAAGAATGAGTTTGAAAGTATTAAAATGGTTTTTTCTTCCTGGTTTTGGTATCCAGGAGCTCCAAAAATATAAAAAAGTTTTAAACATGGAGTCCTTATGTATAAATATATATAGCTAAAAAACAATAGGTTTCAAGTCATTAAATCTTGTGAATTTTTTATCATATTGCAGATTATAAGTCACTCAACATTTTTAGAGATCTTGGACAACATAGAGAAGAAAAAAATAGAGATTCAAAGTCAGAATCTATTTGGGACTCCTCCTCCCTGGTTGCTACTCATATATATTGATATTTTGACAGTCTAAGCAAAAGTGGCTAAAGTCATTTTTTTACATTTTGAGATAATCACAAAAAACCATTTGTTTCTAATATCATTTTTATGTTGGGTTTTAACAAGTTTACTTGTTATAAAAAATAAAAATTTGTGATATCTGAAATTGTGAAAAAATTACTTTAGCTATTTTTTGTTCCCAAATTCAAAAAATAACTTAGGTTACAATTTTTTTTGTTGTTGTTGTTATCTAAAAATTTTAAAAAACAACTTTAGGTTGTTGATTTTAAAAAGTTAATTTGACCATTTAATTTAGGATTATTTGAACATTTTTGTGTTCTTTGTTGGTGAATTATTAGATTGTCTTAACATTTTGTTTTTAATTATTTTTCTTTCTATTTAATGTTGTTTTGATAGGACATTGTGATTTTGGAGAACATTGTCGTTTTTCACATAAAAATGTCACCATCCTTCAACAGCAAGTTGAGCAAGGTAAAAAATAAGAATTTTTTTTTTTTTTTTTTGGTATGTAAATTGTCATTTTCTAATTTTTAAATTTTTGCATTAAACTGTCAATTTAAAAGATGAATTTTTTTTTTTTTTTTTTGACATTTTAAACTATATATTTACATTTTATTTGAATTATTTTTATTATTCTAAACAACTTTAAAAAGTCATAAAACTTCAGAGCGCCAGCAAACAATGAGCATCAATTGGGAAGAAATTGAAAAGTGGGTGGAGAAATGGAAAAAAAAGTTTCAGCCTAAAGATCAAGAGACTTATCGACTTCCGCATGGTTTTCTTTCTCCTGATCAACTTCCACCATCTTTGCAACCACCTCTTGAAAATATAAATTTACAACCTTTAAATTGGGGAGAATAATTTTTGTTTTTTTGTGTTTTAATAAATAATAAAATTATTTTATGTTTTAGTAAATAATAAAACTAATAAAAATGATGAATCATTTATATTTAGAATTATTTATCTTTTAAGTTTACTGTTTTTAATAAAACAATAGAATTTTTTTTCTCTAACTTGATTGTTGTTTTGATGGTGGTTTGAGGTATTTGACACAGACATTGTTTGTTGAAGAATCAATTAGTTAATCTTAAAAAATATAACAAGAAATAAAAATCACATGTATCATTCTAGATAATTTTTATTTAAGAAAAGTGCTGTTTAATTATTTCATGGAAAAGCACCTTTTTTTCTTATTTGATTTATTTGTATAGGATTTAGTGTATTTTTTTATTATTTTCTTTCTTTTTTTCTGTTGATTTTTTGCTTTTGTTTGTATGTTGTTTTTTTTTGTTTTTGTTTTTTTTGATTTTTGAACTTGATTGTTAAAATACCAATGCAGCTGTGGCGCAGTGGTTAGAGTTCTGGTGCAGAACCAAAAGGTCCAAGGTTTGACATGAACTCTAGTCCAATAAGCATCATTGGTAAGGAAGGAGGCATCCTAATTAAATGTTCTTATTTTGTGCTCTTTACTAAGACCATAAGGTCTTCTTGGAGCACATTAATAACAAAAAAACAAAAAAAAATACCAAGTTGGTATGCATCGTGCACCTATTACAGCATGATTTAAGCAAATAGATATATTAGATTATGTTTAATAGATTTAATATTTTTGCATTCTGTTGTATATTTTACAGAACGAGTAATTAACAGAAATGCCATTGGGAAAGGCATTTTAAACTTCTAAACTCTTAATAAAATATACTTTTTTTTATATCTTTACTTTATAAATAAGATTAAGTACTGATTAATTATTTTAGATGCATACCTATTTTTCAAAGAAAACATAAATTGTTAAAAACATCTTTAACCTATAGAGGCCCTAATTCTAATGAGTTATTCAATGTATGTACACTTGCTTTATTATTCCTATTCCAGCATGACATCATCAGTGATGTTAACATCAAGGTTGCTAAAGTTGCTCCTCTGTAGTGTTGTATATAAACAAGAAAGTGTTACTATGGAAAACCCTCCTAATCTTTACCTTTCTAGGTGTTTAAAGTATTTTTTTCCTAAAGTTTCAAATGTATATACCGAATGTATATACCATAAATTAATGTTTAACTAACAAACATTTGTAGTTTAACTTTAACACACATAACATTTAACTTTTTAATATTTAATCTAAATTATAATGTAAACTATGTTAGTAAATTTAACTACACTATGACAAAATTATGTATTACTATGTCAGTGTTAATATGTTATGTTATAATTGAATTTTTTTTTAATTTTACAAAAATGCTTTCCAGCTGCGACTGTATACAGGGGTTGAATTTTACAATTAAATAAGGAAATCATGATTGCTAAATTTTTACTGTTTAAAAAAATATTGGTCATAGAAATAAAAAGTTACTTCAATAAATAAATAAAGTTCATAAAACTATTATTTAATTTTAAGTTTACATTATTGTATTTATTTTTAGATGCACTGTTAAATTTAGATGCATGTTTTTTTTTTTTTTTTTTTTGTACTCTTTTCCTAAGTTTAGCATTGGTATTTTAACAATCAAGTTTAAAAAAAAAAGAAAAAAAGAAACAAATACAAAATATGTGTGTGTATATGTATATATATATATATATATATATATATATATATATATATAATATATATATATATATATATATATATATACACACACACACACACACATATTTTGTATTTGTTACTTTACTTTTTTTCTTTTTTTTTTAAACTTGATTGTTAAAATACCAATGCTAAGCAACATTGTATGCGTGTGTGTGTGTGTGTGTGTCTGTGTGTGTGTGTGTGTATAATTCTAGAGACTTGTCAAATTTAAAAACTCTTCTAATTCTAACATATTTTAAGACCCTTTGTATGTATGCATGTATGAATGTACCTTATCAAATTTATTTTTTATAGTTTTTAAAATAGATTTTTATAATTTATTATGTAATTTATTTTGTTAATATTAGTCTATAGTTAAATATAATTGCAATTTTTATTTTTATTAAAGAGATTTACAAACTATATTTGAGATTGAAGTTTACCATTAGAGCATATTAAAATGTTAAGGTAATCAAGAAGAAAAAGTTTTTGTAAATAATTTTACTTTGATTGAAATAATTTGTAAGACACTAGAAGACACTATTTGCAATGTGTGTGTGTGTATATATATATATATATATATATATATATATATATATATATATATATATATATATATATATATATATATATATATATATATATATATATATATATATATATATATATATATATATATATATATATATATATATATATATATATATATATATATATATATATATTGCTGTTTAAATAATTTTTTCTTAATTCAGTGCAAATGAATTGTTGGATTATTGCTATCAAAAAGCAGTGTTGCCAGAATCAGGAGGTCTGAAGGACTATTCACCAGATGGGAGCGAAGAGCAGGCAACAGCTTTAAAAGTTGCACTTGATCAGTATTACAGTATTTTATGTGAACAGAGGATATGCAGAAAGTAATATTTTTTTGTTTTAAAATGTAAATTTTTGATTTAAAGTGTTAACACTTTCACTGCCAATGTGTAGGTTGTTAACACTTTCATTGTCAACATGTAGGTTGTTAACACTTTCACTGCCAATGTGTAGGAGTCTTTTTAGCTTAGATTAGATTTTATTTTCGACAGTTCGATTTGATATGTTTTGAAGTTAAAGAGTTGCGAAATGATTATTTCAACATTTAAATTGAAAAAAAGTAAAAGAGTAGCCTCCTCTCCAAACAGTAGCCTTGTTAACTTTGAGCTTCATCTAGGAAGATGATTAAAAAAATTTGAACTTCTAATGTCATAACTTTTTATATTTTAACTTCTGAATAGATTTTTTACTTCAAAAAACTTAGAAATAATGAAATAATTCAAATAAGAATAGAGATTTAAAAAAATTCTTAAAAACAGTATTTAATGTTTAGTAAAAGATTGAAAAAATTTTATTAAGTTTTTTCAGTATTGTATGTTTAGTATAAGTTTAATAAAGTATTAGTTATATTTATATTATATTATCATTATATTATCTTTTATTTTCAGTTTAGCTTAGTAAAATATTATTGCTAATTCAGAGTTGATATCAAAGTTTGGGCATCAATAAAATGCGGAAATCCATAAATTTATCAGTGTCCTGTAGTTTTCTTGCAAAAGCACAACAATAAATCATTAGATAAATAAAAAATAACATTTTTTAATCATGTCATCAAACTTTTTTTCTTACAAATTCAAGCAATAGTTTATATATGGCAAACCTTAAAAATTAACATTAAAAAACTAATAAAAAATTATGAAAATACATGTTTTATTATTAACAATAATTATTAGTTAAAACCTACTTGAATTGTAAACCACATAATCATCATTGATTGTTCTAGAAATTTCTGCTATGAAATCACATGTCTTATAAGTACTTTAAAAAAAATCTAATTAAAAAAGCTTTCAAAAAATATTTTAGTGAATATAATGTAGCTAACATTTATTTGAAAAAACTGATTAAAGTTGCTATGCTAATTACTAGAATGAATCTTACAGTTGCCAGTTGGGATAAAAGCCGTAATGTTGCTATTGTAGAAACAATAAAGGTATTATAAATTTTTTTGAGGTTTCTGTATAAGCTATGTATTTATTCTATGCATGTCAATGTGTAAATGTTGTAGTATGACCTCTTTAACTTTATACAGTTGTTTATCTTTAACAGTTGCGCTTAGGGTAACAGTTTTAGAAAACAAGGATGGCAAACTAAAGAAGGAATTTTATTCAATGCAGAAGAAACACTATTCTTAGTTGATCAGGCAAGGCTTTTTTAATTACTTTTTTTTTTAATTTTAGTTAGAATTTTACTTTGTCATGTTAAAAATGCTTGAGAAAAAAAAAAGGCAGTTAATTTTTTAGCTTGGGAATTCAAAAAAATAATAAAAATTTTGATGGTATAATAGTGTTAGTATCATGGTTACTATTACAAAATAAGTTTCTTGTACTTATATATATATATAATAACTTTCAATAACACTACTTGGGTTATAAATATTACTTTTCATTTACACATAATAATCTTATAGTAAGGTTCCATGAAATTTTAAATAATGGCCAAGGTTTTCGTTTTAATAATATTTAGTTAAAATTTCACCTGAAAAATCTAACTTTTTCAATCTTTTAGAATAGTTAAGGTCAGGCTTTCACAGGAAGACGTGCGATTTCATGTCTTTATATGACCACGCAGAAAAAAAATGTTTTAACGATTTGACCACGGCATATTTTTAAAATTTATAAACGCGCTACAAAAACTTACCTAAACTTATCTGAAAAAAAATTTAAAAAAATAATAAATATTAACAAAAGAGAAAATTAAAAAAAATGCTTAGTTAAAGCAAAAACACAAAAAAATAAATACATATATATAACGCAACTAAAACTCATCAAACTAATATGCTTAGTCTATTTAATTTACGCATTAAAAAACCTTTTCAATCTTTGTTTCAATATTTTTATATATTTTTAATTTGTTTAATATGTTCAAAAGTTAAATATTTCTCATAAAAAATACATAGTTATATAAATAAAATAAAAAAATATTTTATAAATACTTTTTTAAATTAATTAGAAGTGTTTTTTTTTTTTACTTCATTAAAACTGTTTCGATAATATAAGTATTTAAGATCAAACTTATTAAATTGTAACGGTTTTCCAAAACTTTTTTTTTTAATGAAATTTTGTTTATCTTCTTAAATGCATTAACTTTAATCATTCTTATATTTAAATTCGTTAAAGAGGCTTTCGTAGTCGTAGAATGTCATCGTTTATAAAAACAAAACAATTTTTTATTTTTTAATAAGATTTATTTTAGAAATGAACACTTAAACAATTTATATGTTTTAAATTAAAAAAATATATACAACTGTCAATTATATTTAAAAAACAAAACTTTTTTTCAGTAAATTGTTACTTTATTTAAAATCGTTTTGCTAATATAAAAACATTTGTTATGAAGTTTTGATGTAATTAATTTAATTTTTTTAGAATATTTTTTACTTAGCGCGTTTCTAAAATGTTTTTTGAATTAGCCGCGGTCAAACCGTCATAGCAAAATGTAACTTGCGTAGTCATATAAAGACGTGAAATCGCACGTCTTCCTGTGAAAGCCTGGTTAAGGTGTACTTTTTGTTAATCATATTTTTGTTATCTCTATTATATTAGGGTGTACTTGAACTCAAGGAAAACAACATTCCATTGTCATTTCATGCTGTAAGATTTTAATACTTAAGCACTTTTTCTTTTTTTTTTTAATAGTATATTTATTCTATATATGCTTACAAATGCTATGTAATTGCACCATTATTACTTTTAACTTTTTTTTTCAAAAACATGAAAACAAGTAAAAAAATGTTACAAATAATTTTTTTATTGAAAGAATCTGTCTGTCATCTCATTTGTCTTAATTTGTCTATTTTGTTAAGCAGTTGTATTAGTACTTTATCAAGTCTTTCTAAAAATGAGAGTGTGTGCCAAAAAACTTGTTTAGTACAATTTAATATATATATATACACGATTTTTTTTGTATAAGCAACTTAGAATTTTGGTCAGAACTCGAGTTGCTTATTTTTCAGTTAATTTCTATATCTCGAGTTGCTTAATGGTTGCTTAAGTGTTTTAGCCTAAATTTCAGCATTTTTACGAATAAGAGACAAAATACGGTTTAATATCAAGTCTTTAACAGAAGAGTGCTCTTTACAACTAAAATCACTTAAATTCTAATTAAAAAAAAGATCACAAATATTTCTTCTCTTCTGCTGGATCTTTATTTTCTCTCTTCTGCTGGATTTTTATTTTCTCCACTTTCTTTGTCTTCTTGTCTGTCTGATTTTTCTACTTGTCTATCTAGTTCTTCATCTTCTCCGTCTGATTCGTCAGGCAAAACATCGATAGGGTTATCCTTTACTTCGTCTGGAATAGGAGTCTCTTTGATTTCCACCAATGTCAACAGGGGTGGAACAACATAAGCAGGCATGTCTTCAGGATTTATCTTATCCTCCTTGCTACCATCAGCCGTCATAAGACATCCTGTTTTTGCTAAGCTCCTATAAAGCATGCAAAGAAATTTCTCGGCTTTGGATGTTTTATGGTAAGCTTCACCGACCCAACAGGTTATCAAAATGCGTCGAACACCAAACCAGACAATACCTTTATGTCGTCGCACTTCATTCAAAAACTCATCACTGACTTGGGCTGTCAGGTTATCGCAGAACAAAACATACTCATCCAGGTTAGCAACAGCATTGGAGAGAGTGTTCTTCACCCATTTCACGGAAAACACTGTATCTGCCCATGCATTTGGTTGTCAGTACACATCTACATCAGTGTCATAAGCTAAAACTTCATCTTGACTAATCCTTTTCCCCTTACCTCTGAAAATCAACGCCGACTTCACCTTTCCTTCAGGACTGAAACATATTTGAAGGGTAGCTTGTCGCTTATCAAGCCCACTGCCACTGTTGAGCTACCCATACTCTATGGTCCCTTTGTTCCTTTTCCTTACTCATTGGAATTTCGTATGTTTGTTTGCTCTCGACTACAAACGGGAGTGGAATTTGATCTGCATTGATTCTCTTTTTCGGTGGGAAACGCCCCCATTTTTATCGTATGTGGGTTTGCCACTTCCAGACTTAATCAACTTTTCTCTCAAATTTGAATGCCATTTCATTAGAATTGGATTTGCTTCTTTACGTCAGCTTGGCGCTTACGTTGAACACACAGCATGTGGATCTTATTTTTCCTTAAGAAATGAGTGACTATTGATTTTTGCAATCTCTCAGCATTCGGGCTTTGTTGTAGATGAATTTGATTCGCTCGGACATGCAACCACTCAAAGTTAACTTTTAGCCCCTTTTTTCTTGCTTCGGAGAATTTGTCATAAAGTTTGTTAAACAAAGTTTTGTGTTTGTCGCCTCTTCGGCATTTCCTTAATAATGCGTTTTTCTTTTTTTCGTTGTACTTGTTGTAGATTTCTTTTTCCTTTGATTTCCATCGCATAATCATACTCTTATGAACGTTATACTTTTTTGCTACATCCCTACTTAACATACCATCGTTTAAGTCATTTAGCGCATCAACCTTTTCTTTTAACGTATAGCTCTTCCATTTGTCAGCAATTTTTGGTAATTCGTTAGCTTCAACGTCAGTAACAAGCTTCTCTAAAACCGATTTCACAGTTTTTTCAATATTATTGTACTTGTTCTTTCCATCAATGATTTGATCCAAGCTCATTGATTTCAGGTCTTTGTCAGTTTGAGCAATATCGGTATGTGATAACTTATTTTTAGACCTAAACTCGTGCATCAAAAGGGCTTGTGATATTTTCAGTGATTTTTTGCAAACATTACATACAAACAAATTATCTTCTTTTTCCTTTGGCACTACATTTACAAACTCACCACAATGACAAATCTTTTTGGTAAAACCAAAGTTGAACAAATTTGTCTGCTTTCTCTTACTCATGATCTTAACAGCGTTGTCAACAACATACACAACAACAACACTACTGTGATTACTTTTTTTGAAATCGTTTATCTAAAAGAAGTCATTACATTGCAGAGAAAAAAATTGCAATTTATGAGTTGGTTATGTTAACATTTGTTCAGAACTGAAGTTGCTTAATATTTTTTCATATCAAGTTCAGTTGCTTATAAACGAGTTGCTTATACAAAAAAAATCGTATATATATATATATATATATATATATATATATATATATATATATATATTTATTGAAATATGACATAATATTACTATGTATAGTAATAGCATATTAATGTAGTGTAGTAATGAAATTTCAGTAATGAAACAATTTTTTTTTGTAGTTAAGTATATTAATACTATAACACACACAATGTCTCGAGGCAAGCCAAGATGAAAGATGAAAGTGATCAACTGCTGATCATTCGAATGAAGTAAAATCTCTGGCGAAATAGATTCAGCTATTCAAGTTCATTATCTTGAAATATTTCTCGTTCTTCAAGCAATATATTTTTAAAGTGTCTGATTTTAATTAGAAAACATCTCCTTAGACGATCAGATAAAGCTTATGAAATCTCTTATTTAGGATCTCTCTAGAATGCAATCTTTTTCCCAACTTCATTTATGAAGCACAGTTGATTGCCTCTGGTCTAGCATGTTATGGTTTTCAATCAGATTTTGTCCCAAAAAAGACACAAAAGAAGAAGACCTTTCATGAAACAAGGAGCAACGAAGCTCGTTTCCACGAAAAAGAAGAAAAGTAGTTTGAGGAGAACATGTTCGAATTAGCATTTTCAACGCGATTTCTGTTTTTATCTCTGAAGGTGAATAATCTTTCAGTATGGTTGGTCTAATCAAGACTACGATTTACAATAAATCTAGGCCAGAGTTGGTCTAATCAAGACTAAGATTTATAATGAATCTAGACCAGAGTTGGTCTAAGATTCATTATAAATCTTAGTCTCTATTTACAATGAATCTAGACTAATTAACCAATCTTCTAGTTATTTTCATTTTGTAGTCAGTTTATTCTTCTGAAACAGAATTTAGATAAGCTGACACATAAACTTCAGTTACTTCTAATATTCTAGTGTTTTCTAATTGAGGTTCTTGTTTATACTTTTATGTTTGTTTATGTGTTAGAACTTTGTTCCAACAATCAAGAATTTTTTTTAGTCAAGAAATAAACCCTATATATATATATAATATATATATATATATATATATATATATATATATATATATATCTGCATTTTATGTGTTATTTATCTACTATTATTTGCTAATTATTTGAAGGTAACTAGTTAAATATAAAAGTTTGAATGTTTTTATTTCAAGGTTTTTATGCTCATTCTTCCAATATTACCATCATTAGAATACTATCAGGTAATTTTTTTTTTTTTTTAATACTCATTTATGACTTTTAACATTTTATAAAAAAGCATTTTTATAAATTATATTTATGTTTATATTTATATATCAGCTCTCGAATTTAGAGTTGGCATGTCTACAATCTTCACTGTTTGTAATTTACTGCGAGTATTATTAGGCGTGTACAATTTTAAAATTTAATTTTGTTTGCTTTTTCAAATAAATTTAAAATGGCAAGAGCAACGCTTTATTTGAGTTCTAAATAAAATAATTAAAATGAAATGAAAATAGCATTTTTTAATATAATTCCTTAATAAAATAATCCTGAGTTAAATTAAACGTTAAAATCATTCTACGGTACTCAGTAATAAGACTGTAAGGACTTATTACTGAGTACTAAAAAAAATAAAAAAATAGAGAACATTTTATATGATTTCTAAAATAATAAAGTTAAAATAATAACAGAACTACTAATGTTTAGTTTTAAATTTCTTCAGGAACGCAGAATTTTACTATTTTAGCAGGAATTTAAATTCCTAATAAAAATAGTAAAACTCTGCATTTTTCAAACTTTAAGCAACCTTGATGTTTGAAAGAAAAAGTGAACAGGGATTTTTTATTCCCTCTATTTTATATTAAATGTTCTTCGATTTATTGAACCCTGTTTCTAAATTTTGCGCCCACCTGATTCCCACCTACATCAGTTTTAGGTCGGCATTTTTTGACCTTATTTGCTGACCTTATTTTTCCTCATTCTGTGGACTGATTCAAAACATCTTCAAAAGAGTTTAGTTGAATATTTTAAAATAAAACTTTTTTATGGATTTAACTCAATTTGTTCAAAATATTTATTTTTACAATATTTCGAGGGAATATTGTAAAAATATTGATACCTTCGTTATCAAGTATATCAAGTATACAATATGCTTGGTAATGAGAGTAATAATATTTTCTTGAAATATTGTAAAAATAATTATTTTTATTAAATAGAGTTAAATCCATAAATAGAAGTTTTATTTGAAAAAATTATATATATATATATATATATATATATATATATATATATATATATATATATATATATATATATATATATATATATATACATATATATATATACATACATACATACATACATACATATATACATACATACATATATATATACACATATATATTTTTATAGACATATGCTTATCTGTGCAGGCTTGGTTATATCGTACGAAGATATCGTGCTGTGTAAGTACATAAATATTTGAATAGCACGTAATAATGTTTAGCAATTTAGTAATAATATTTTTGGTTTCGGCTTTAATCATAATTTTTTGTTTTCATTGAAACTAATGTATTAGATTGGCCTTTACCCTAAAATCTGATATAAAATTACTATCAAAAAGTGTTTGCCAAAATAGAATAAATAATAAGTAAATAATCAAAACTTACATCAAATTACAAAAACTTAACTTTAACTTTTGTTTATAGTCATTACCGGAAAGATATATGAAATTTCACTGATAGTATTGCTTGGTAGATTTTATTTACAGTTGTTAAGTTAACCATTGTAATGAAGACCATATAACTTGGTAGATTTTATTTACAGTTGTTAAGTTAACCATTGTAATGAAGACCTTATTAAGTAACCAATTATAATAAAAAATAGTATTTAGTTATTTTGGTGTTAGGTTAGGTTTCTTTGTTTTGGGTTTATTTATTACCAAGTTCGCATATACTGCCGTGCTAAGCGAAAAAGCATTATCTCCAATTTTGGTCAAAATTGAGATATTGCTACCAATGGTTAAAAATGTGATTTTACACCATTTTTCGCAACAAAAAAGCAGTATATCCAATATTTAACATTGAAAATGAGCATTTGAAATTAAGAAAATAAACAGTTAGTCCATAATTTTTGTGAAACTAGAAGCAAAAATACAGTAAATAACGAAAATATTAAAAAACTCATAAAATCAATTCTATGATATAAAATTAGTATATAAACATTTATTTTAGGATTGTATGTTAATTATGCTTGGTACACGGATCAGTAATCTGTCTAAACTTGTTTGGTCGATATGTATATATAACCCTTGGAATTACGGAAAATGAGGAGTATATTCATTTCTTCTTTAAGTTTAACAGCTTCTTTAATAGTTAATCTGAGTATATCAGACTGTGAAGTGTCTGAATGTCGATCCCATCTTAATAATTGTCGACAAATGGTTGCTGTTTTGCTGGTTAATAACTTTGAAAATGTTACTAATTTGGTTGCAGTTCTGGTTTTGCTTTAGTTCTTGCTGATACTAGTGGACTGTTCTTCTGAATCTTCAGATTCTTGATACTATGCCTCAGTCTCGGATTTGGAAGTTAAAGTTATTACTGTTGTTACGGTTGTTGAAGTAGGCTTCAAGGACATTTTTCTTCTTTTGCATGAATGGATTATTTTTGAACTAGCAACCTTCTGAGTTATATCTTTGACCTGTCCTTTGTTTTCAATCTGAAGATGATTCTTTTGTGTGGAAAATTTATTTTACCATAAACTTCTTCTTTCTCAATTTTGTGTTCCTGTATCCTTTTGATGGATTCTCCCAGGAACCAACAATTTAAATTTTGAGTGGTATCCTGCTGTTATATTCCAGTGTTTGTTTTTCTAGTGGAATAGCTCTTTTCCTATCTGACTCATAAAATTATATAAGGTTCTTCATTCAGAAGAATCTTATATTGTCTTGTTTCTTTCATTAGTGAATGCACTTTTCTTATATTGTAATTGAAGATAATGCTTGAATATATTTCTAAAAGGCAGTAATAATAAATGTAAGTGCTATTATTTGGCATCTGGCAAATACAGATTTATATATAATTATTAGCATTGCTCAATCAGGCAGTAGGCAGTCAAAATCTAATTTCCATATACTTCTAGAAAACTCTAGAAAATTCTGGAAAGCTTCATAAATTTCTTAAAACATTTAGAATAGTCCAGAAAGAGGTTCAAGAAAATTTTAGGCTTCAGATAGTCTATAGTTTATAGAAAAATAATGTTATTGCCTGTAAATACTACTTATACAATTTTTTAAAATTTTTTATAAGCGTGGGCTAGAGCTAAATATATATATATATATATATATATATATATATATATATATATATATATATATATATATATATATATATATATATATATATATGTATATATATATATATATATATATATATATATATATATATATATATATATATATATATATATATATATATATATATATATATATATATATATATATACAAATTTTTTTTAAATGAAAGACAACATTATTAATAGTACTTAAAGTTTTGTGCAGTACACGGCAATCATCAGCTATTAAATACATAAAAAACTGTTTAAAAAAAAAACTTGTTTGCAAATGAATTAAAAATTATGGTAGACTATAAATTAAATTGTAAAAATTTAAAGGTGTAAATTATTACTTCTGACGTAATAAAAGATTTAACTGTTTAGTCTTCAGTATCTAAAGATGATAGTAGAAGTTTGTTTTTGATACTTTTTTTAAAATTATATATTTCTCATGAAGGCAGAGGTTACAAACTTTTGATGTTGTTTTGATAGTTTTACAGCGTTTTATAATTTTCCACTATATTGTTTATGTCCCTTTCTTTTAAATTCCAAATCTCCTTAAAAAGCTTGGTTTCATTTCTGTATTTCATATACTAGTAAATGGCTATCTATTTTTTTGATTTTGACTTAATAGAGTATTAATATATACCATATGACTTTTTGCTTTCAATTTTTGTTTTTAGCTTTTTAATTTGAGGTTGGTGGAAACTCTTTAAATAGAAGTGCAAATCTTTTTTAAAAATCTTTTATATTGATTTTTATATTTTATATTGATCTACATAAATTTTTATTTTTAAAGAAAATACTCAAAAAATTACTGAAAGTACTTATTCGAACTTTTGATATGTTGCATGATATTAAACAGGCAATTGTGCAATAATTAAATCCCTTTTGATTTTTTGTGTAATAGTTCTCTAGCCTATTGTTGTTGTTCCTCTTTTTCCAATAATATCAGGGTAGTCCCGTTTTATACCTGTTTTTTTTTTAGTATCACTGTTTGTAATCAAGTCTCTCCTTGCTTTAGAAATCTATTTGAAGCACTGAACTAGGACTCAGACCAATCAAAACACCTGCTTTAACATGTACAACAGTTTTTTCTTCTGAGATGTTTCAAGCTAAGCAATATATTACAACCAGCAGTTGGAAAAGTTTTTTTATTTTGGTTTGTATATGAATGCCTACCAAGAACTGTTTAAATTGACATTGTTTCTATTGAAGGAGTTATTCTTTAACATACTTATTAAGCAAGGTTTCCTTACTGGCCTTGAATTGCATGCCAGCATAGCTAATTTTTTTAAGTTTTTTTTTCTTCAGATGCAGATCTTTGCCAGCTATTCTGAATTAATGTTTTTTGGGCAAATGTCAATTCATGAGAGACAAATGCCTTAATAATTATCAGTATACAACCTTTTATATTTGCAAAAATAGTTTTTGGTTGCTAGTTTTCTTTGCTAAAATTCAGTGAGCTTCATTTTTATTAAAGTAAAGATTTAAATATTTTTGTTGATACATTATCTAATAACTTTTTGACAATAACAAAATGATTTAAACTTAAAATTTTTGACAATAACAAAATGATTCAAACTTAAAATAATATAATTCAAAATATAAATGTGATAAGTAAAAATATTATATTATCGCTATATACACCATAAAGCCCTCAGTTTTGGTTTTAACTCTTGCAATTCATTCAATTTAAAACTGATTTCAATGCTGCAATATTTTTTTAAATTAATGGTTGTACTAACTAGATTAAATTTGGTCAAAAAAAAGTTCAATAGAAAAGAAGACAGGAGGGGGGAGGTATTGATCAAAAATTGGTCTTAATCCTTTTTTTAATTTCTAGTCATACACTTTTACTGAACACATCTTCCCCTTATAAAAGTATGTACAAAATAATGTAAAACTATTTGCATTAATATTTTTTTATATATTTTACAAAAATTTAAACTAAAAGGGTAGGGTCATTTTTTTTACTTTTTTTTTTGTTTAAAAGTTGGTACAATTTAGTTAAATAGCATCTTATTCCTCTTTGTTATAGGAGTATAAAAATGGATTTACTACTGCCATTTGCCAACTTAACACTTTTTGAGATTGGTTTTTTGAGAATTATTTTTTCTGGTAAAAAATTAGTTAAAACACTAAAATTTTGCTAAATTTTAGTTGTTTAATTAGGTATTACATGTAAAAAGAAAATTTGTGCAATAATCTATGAAGTTAACATTCACATTTCCATAAACTGTAGTCTATTGTTTCTACATACAGTTATCATATTAGCACTGCTTATATAGTAACATTTTTTCTTATATAATGCCTAAAATTACTGTTATCATTTATACTAAATACTTATCTTTTGCAAGGAATTTATGTTATTCAAACTAGTATTTTTACTTAACAAATCATGCTTTTGAATTCATTTTTTTTTTTTTAATGAACTGGAAATTTATTTGGCTTTCAATAACAACTAACTTAAATTTATTTTGGTAACATTGATTTTTGAGCAATGTCCACTGTTTGGCCCACTGTGCATGGGTTATTGGCTTACCAACAAATTAATTAAACAAATTAAAATAAGTTCATAATAAAAAAAATTTTGGTTTATATTTTTTATTTGCATTTATTAACATTTTATTGTAAAACATTTTTTTATATTCAACAATAGCAGCAGTTTAACAGTTCCAGCAATTTGGTTAGTTAAAAAACATCTGCTGTTATATTATCTTAGTTAACAGTTCTAGTGGTTTGGTTAGTTAAGAAGCATCTGCTGTTAACTGCATCTAACTTAACAGCTTCAGCAGTTTACTTAGTTAAAAAGCATCTGCTTTTAAATTATCTTGGTTAACAGTTCCAGCAGTTTGCATAGTTAAGAAACAAAGCCTTTTTTTAATAACTGAATAGCTGCATACTTTTTCAAGTTCTATTTGTGTACTAAGTTGACAGAGACTGGATTTTAGATGTTAGATTTTGCATTGCACAAGTTTTCTAGGTTTTTGACATTTCTGTTTGATTATCCAGCTAACCAATCTGGTTGTATGGTATATAATGTTTATTTGTCTGTTGGTTTACCACTAAACTCATTTTGAATTTATTTACAAATGACGGCATTCCTAAATTTTTTACCAAATATAAAGTAATGCTTTTACAATGTATGGGCTCCAAGAGGGAAAGAGGTTTAACATAACTTTTTCTTTTGTTGCATATTGTGTTTATTTTTTTAGCTTTATCTTTTTAATTATTTTTTTTTTCTTTGCTCAATGCTATTAGAAATATTTTTGTTATTAGTGCTAAACCTATTGACGATTGTCCATGGGGAAGACGACCTCCATCACCCAAGCAACTTTGTGAAGAAGTTATTGCTGAAGGCTTGGATGAGTTGAAAAATGGTTACATGCAAAGCTTGTGGAATGATGACATTCATCCTTTAATAAGACCAATTGAAGCTGAAAGCACTGGTTAGGTTTAATTTTATAAAAATTTATTGTAAAATATTTTTTTTAATATCAAATGAAATTATTTGCTTTATTTAACATTTATGTGTGTGTGTGTATATATATATATATATATATATATATATATGCATACTTTGGCAATCACTCTGACATCATACTGAAATAGAGAATTAAAGGTTTTCATCTTTTGATGTGTAGAATTTAACCTGTGCTTGTTTGATATCTTTTTTATTTTTGAATTTTTTACCTGTCAGATGTCCCACCATATGCTCAATATTCTCTTAGTCAGAGGTAAGTTTAGTTTATAGATGTGAGAGCTAGGTTTTTTGAGTTACTTTTTAATCAAAAAGTACTCGATTTTGTGTAGAGCAAGTAGAGATGTATATATGACAACTAAAACATCCAAATTCTTTTGACTTTATTCAAGTGGCACCCATCTTGAATATTTCCACCCAATTCTATCTTCTTAATATGGTCCAAAATGGTTTACTGAGCTAAATAAAGTCTTTCAGAAATGGATCTTGCTCCAAGATGGCCTTAAAGGGATCCCAAAGTACAGAGACAAGTTGTGTTCATATTAAAGTGAGTGTTTAAAGAAAATGTTTGGGCAGAGACAAGTTGTGTTCATATTAAAGTGAATGTTTAAAGAAAATGTGCAAATTTTTTTGAGTAAAACAAAATAACATATACCAAGAATGTTGTTTAAACATATACCAAGAATGTAGTCTTTGTAGTTTAACTCAAAACTCACTATCTCCATGTTAGCGTGTGTTTTTAAGTCTTTAAAATATACACCACAATCTACAGACTTTATAATTTATTCAAGCGCATTGAAGTATTAAAAATGACGTCATTTTAAGATATTTTTTAATCAAATTTTTTTCTTTTTGAATCAATATTATTTGTTTTTGTTTTGTTTGTTTGTTTTTTTTAATAAGGGTTTATCATCATATGACTTTCCTATAAATTTTATAAGAAGCTAAACGTAAGAATGTTATTATTTTTTTTTTTTTTTATAGAACATTAGGATTTTTTTTTTATATAGAACATTAGGATTTTTATGATGTCTCTTAAATATGATAAATATATAAAAACAACATTGATCACCTTATTATATATTCTGAATCTTTTTTCTTTTTGTGTAAACCGTTTATTGCTATGATGTTTTGTTCTCCTATTGAAATGAGATTTTCAATTAAAAAATAATTTTGGTAAGCAACATCATTTATTAAATGTATTTTCAAAATTTTTTAATTTTTAGTTTGATAGATGTTAATACTTATAGAACTTACACTTAACAAATTTACAGACAGCTTTTTATTAATTAAAGCAATAATTAATGTTTTATGGCAATAATTCATAAGATGGCAGTTAAAATTGTCAATGTGTTGCAGCCCGCATTATAAAGCATATTTTATTTAATATTTCCCAATTTACATGTTGTTATTGGCAATAATTTACATTAAAACCTGTCTCTTAACATTACAAATAAAAAAACTACCCAAATTGACAATAAAAAGTTTTTCATTAAACAGTCTCATTCGTAGCATTATCAAGTCAATTTTTAAAGTTAACTTGATAATGCTACACTTTTTTGTAATCTTGACCAATAATTGTTCAATTTTAAAAATAAAATAAACAAAGCAATACGCGTTTTACAGAATAAATTTCATTAAATATAATATAAAATAAGATCCACCTTGATAGCAGCTTACTCTGTGCAGTATAAATTTCATTAAATTTATTCTTGCATGATTAAATAAGATATTCAAGATTATTTTTACCCGATGAAAAGTTTAGCAAATAAATAGTGTTAATTAAACTTTTATAAGATTAAATAATACAAAATAATTTTTTTAATGAAATCCTAATAAGGATAATAATCATTTAATAAAAAATAAATATAACACAAAACTAATTTATAGCAATAGACAAGCTTAAAATATCTGAAATATTTTATTCATAGTTTTAATGAAAACTTTACAAAATTTAGAAAATAATAAAAACTGAAGAAAAGTAGTTTATGAAAAAAAAACAAAAAACTTTTATATAATAATAACTAAACAAATTTTTTAGCAATTAAAAAATGTAAAAAAAATTTCAGATTTCTTATCAAAGTTCTACAATAATATCATATTCTAAAACTCTTTGGAATTAAATGCGCCTTAATTAATTATAAGGTCTAAAGATTGCGGTGTATATTTTAAAGACTATTTTAAAAACACACGCTAACATGGAAACAGCAAGCTTCAAGTAAAACTACAAAGCTAGTTTTTTTGGGTATACGTTTATTGTTTTGTTCAGCTAAAAAATTCAGCCCCAATTTTTTTTTAAACATTCTCTTTAATATGAACACAACTTGTCTCGGCACTTTGGGATCCCTTTAACTACATTATCACTGATCAAATATGGTCGATCAAAACAGCTTATCAGAAAGATTGAAATCATTTGTTTTAATTTGGGGAAGCTATACTTTCCCCAAACACTTTTAATAAATTTCTACAATAACTTCTGTAGCATTTCTTACAATTTTTATATTTGTATAAAATACAGTGGCATAAATAATCTTTAATAGTAGCTATAGGTACCCTATTACTTTACACTTAAGGCTAATGTGAATCAACTTTAATAATGAGTTTGCAATGTCAGTATGTATACATTAAGTGATAAAAATATGGAGTAGAACATGCACCAAATGAACATATGCTATATATACAAAATTGTTGTCATAGAAATGTACAAAACTTTCTAATAGATTCTGATATATATATATGTATATATATATATATATATATATATATATATATATATATATATATATATATATATATATATATATATATATATATATATATATATATATATTTAATCATAACACATAGAAGTAGCAAAAACAAATAAATGATAATTAAAGTAATGATCTCTCCTTCAGTAAACATTATTTGTGTTTGTTTTGCTTTTGGTTTAATATATCAAGTTTCACGGAAGTTATATATATATATATATATATATATATATATATATATATATATATATATATATATATATATATATATATATATATATATATATATATATATATATATATATATATATAGAGAGAGAGAGAGAGAGAGAGAGAGAAAAAGAGAAAAAGAGAGAGAGAGAAATATAAAAGCACTAGTTCAGTAAAAAAATATAAAAGCACTAGTTCTGACATCTTACTGATTTAAGGGTTTCAGTACATACATTAACTGATATAAGGTGAACATGCAAAGGATTTCATTATTCTTTTTTTTTTTTTCCTTTCTTCTTTTTACAAAAATACTATAGATTTAAGTTAGCAAAAAAGTCAGCAAATGTATATCTACATGTGCTACAGTATAAGTATATATTCACCTTAAGACACACTATGTATGTGTATACATATATAAATAATAATAATAATAATGATAAGCTGCAGCAAAAAAATAATAACATAAGGATTATATTAAATAAAAGTGCTTAATTTAGCACAAAGTAAATGTTTTTTGTTTTTATATCTCTCTTGTTTGAAAGGGTTAGTAACCCTTTGACTCCTTGTCAGTTGACAATGAGTGTTTGTTGGTACAATTTTTAAACTCATTAAGACGAAGAGAATCAATCACAGTTTGTGGGTGTAAATACCATTGGCTGATGACTCTGTTAAGAAAAAAATTAAGTCTAGTAGAGATCGCATGTTATTGTTGAGGTCAGATGCATTAAAGAAATCTCTTTGAAGAGACACTGCGAGATATTTTATCATATGGATGGTCAATTTTTGGGTTAAGCCAACAAGTATTTTCTAAGTTATTATTAAACTTGAAAATGTAGATTAAAACACCTCGATTATGTCTTTTATTTATTGAGGTGAGTTGAAAGTGTGAAAATCTGGCTTCGCTGGATAATACTCTAAGAAGCGGAATTTCTTTGGTGGTACAGTTTTGAACTTTTTCAAGTTATTTAATGTTGTGTACAGAAAGAAAATTCCATACAGGAGCAGCGTACTCAAGATAAAGCCAGACCAGCGATGTGTAAAGTCTCTTCCAGGCTTTTGCATTTTTATAGATAAAAGATTTCTGACCATGGACAGAGTTAGCTTTTGATGATATTATTTCAACAAACATGTTCCATTTGAGGTTGTGTGAAATAAAAATGCCAAGATCTCATTTGATGTAACATGAATCAACAAGCTGCATTCTTTGTAGAGTCAAGATATAGTATTGGTGGTTAGCGTTTTTGTTTTTGTTGAAGTGTAAGATAAGGTACTTTTTGTAAGATGTCTCAGGTTGTAGTACAATTTGTGATATGGTTTGTTGTTCTGAAGCATAATTGGGCTGTCAGATGTTAAATTGGGAAAATTAACTTTGCTGTCATCAGCATATAACTTAATTGGATTGTTAACTAGGTCTGGAATGCCATTGATTTATAAGACATATAGAAGAGGTCCTAGAACAGATCCTTGTGGGACACCACTAGTGACTGGTAACTAATCTGAAGTAGCAGAACCCATGACAACTCGCTGTTTTCTGTTAGAAACAAAAGACTTTATCCAATTAAGTAGCATTTAAGAAACACTATAACCAGAAAGTTTGTAGAGCATAAAATAATGAGGAGGTGTGTCAAATGCTTTTTCATAATCTAGATATAAAGCATTTACACTATAGCCTCTTGCCATTGAATTTAAGATCTGATCTACAGTTTTTAATAAATTGGTAATACATAATTTATATGGAACAAAACTGTGCTGATTTATAAATAAAAAATTGATATGTTAAACAATCTTTCACAAAATTTGTAAAAGATTGTTTAACCAAAACCAGCAGAAGAAATTTTGAATCAAGAATCAAGAAATCTTGTTCTTCTGCTGGTTTTTTAACTATAATAGCAAAAAAACATTTGTGTTAAAAACAAACTGTTGCTCTGACATATCAAAATCATTATGTTTTCAAAGTTATTAAATTCTCCTATCAAATTGTTAAAGTCTTCTTTAATGTTTGCAACAG